GAAGTCTTGACAGTTTCCTAGTTTATTAGTTGAGTCCTAGCATGGGTCCAATTTGCGCCAACCAAACTGTATGCTGATGTTTGTCTTCCAAAGGAAGTAATATTGTGTTCAAAATGCTGGAGTCTAAGTAGGTTCGATTTTGACTTTGGGCCAGTTTAAGTATTCTAAAGCTGTATGAAATTAACGTTAGACTTTTCCAGGTTAAATACTTGGTTGGAAGAGACAACCTTTAAGATTTTCTTCTCCCAGCAGAGTTCACTGATGTCTGAATTGTGCCCGCCCCCTTTCCACGAGCACCGAGGAAGAGCACATGCCACTGGCAGCTTTGAGCCACCTACACATTCATGACCCAAGATGCTGGGATTGATTTGAAGAGGTTTAGGACGTGTCAGCATTCCATTCTTCCTTTGACCTAAAAAAGTCGAACACACAGGCACCTGGCAGGTTTACTTTGTGATTGTACAAATGAAGCCTGTGAGTGTGAAGTGGTGCTACATGAATCCTTGATCTCCAGGTGCCTTGGCCTTCGTCACTGTGTGTTTGGAGGTGGAGGAGAATCCTTGAACAGGGTTAATGCTTAGCAGGAAGTTGGCCTCTTGTTTATTGCAATGGTTTTGGCTTCATCCCCTATGTCGGAATATATCCATAAACATTCTGATTTAAGTAATATGGAATATAGTCAACATACTGCAATAATAAATTGGTTGTTCGTGTCTAAGGATCATCATTGGATGGAAGCATCCACTGATTCTTTTAGATGAAGAAGTTATGCCGAGATGGCATCCATCCTGTGATCTGCCCAGAAAACACTGTCTAGAGAGAAGAGTTCTTGGTAGGGTGGGGAGGAAGGCAGATTTAGGGCATAACCTGAGCTGGACATATTTGGGGAACGTGAGGATGACAGCTCTCTGGGATGCAGGCTCTGGGATGGGGAGTCATAGGCACTAAGGTTGTCAGTTAAATCTGGATTCGAGACAACCACTGGTGGGTTCTGAGCATAGGAGCACTGTGATCCAGGTGGCTCCCTGGGAGAGGTAGCTGGGGGTCAGCACACTGGAGATGGAGCAGAGGGAGGCAAGAGTCCACTACTCCTGTGAGAGCAGGCTGACTGCTGTGTGAAAGATGGGACCTAGACTGTGATAGTCATGCTGAGGATGACAAATGAGAATGGCAAACGTGATATATAGGAATTATTGTTTACTTCTTAAAAAACAAACAGTGACACCATTAACACACCCAAAAGGAATGAGCAACAGCCAGGTGTGGTGGTACACACCTGTTGTCCCAGCTGCTCAGGAGGCTGAGGTGGGAGGATCACTTGAGTCCAGGAGTTCGAGGCTTCAGTGAGCTATGATCACACCACTGCACTCCGGGAGACCTTGGGTGACGGAGTGAAACCCTGTCAAAAAAAAAAAAAATCTTTCAAATATCCTCAAATATCTATACATATCTTTTAGTTTGAATTAGGATTTAACTAAGTCTACATATTTTAATTACTTGATAGACCTCTAAAATCTCTTTAATCATGGGTTTGTCTTTCCTCTCTATTTTTTTTTCCCTTGCAAATTATTTGTAGAAGAAAGTGAGTCATTTCTCTATGGAGTTTCCTGCAGTCTTGACTTTGCTGAATGGTGCTCAATATGTTCCCATGTCCTGTGTATTTCCTATCAATTGGTTGGTGAATCTAGAGGATTGATCCAGTTGTGTTAGCCCTAAGCCTTGTTTCTATCCAGTTCACATACAGAATAGTGTTAATCTCACTGTGGTGCTAAGTCATCTTATTTGTTTGGATAAATAAAGATCAACTACTAGTTTTACTTTAATCATATATAATCATGTGTACAGATCTTGGGTAGAGTTGGACAGGTTCTAACAAATACATATACCCGTGGTCACCAACACCCGGAGCCTTGCCGTTCCCCTAGGAAGTTTTCTTTCTTCCGGTTGCATTCAGTCTTCCTCTTACCCCAGAAGCAACCACTATTCTGATTGTCCCTCTGCTCTCTGACCAGTTTTACTTGTATTTTTTGTTGTTCTGCATCAGTGATTTTAATAAAGAAAAACAGGCTTCCGAGGGAAGATAACCAGGCCCACTGGTCTGCAGTCCTGTAAACAAAGTGATGTGATGCTTAGCTGAAGGCGAGGATAGCCGCTGTAGAGAGTACCTTGTGCTCCGTACGGTTCAGCCGCTCTGTTTTAAGCAAAGATAAGCCTTGCCCATCTTTTTCCCTTGAGGAGGGATGCATCCACTGAGGCAAGTGAAAAGTGAAAAACCCCATTTTTCACCAGATGGTTTTACTTTGAGCTCCATTTTCTTGTCAGGATCCTGCACCAGCCATGCCTAGTGAGACTTTGTTTTATTGCAAGGTTTCCCACTGCCAGCGTGGTCATACACAACGGGGCACTCTTCCTCCTGAAAGGAGAGGTGGCTCTGGAGGTTACATGCAGCTGTGCAGGTTCCACCCTGCTCTTCTCTTGGACAGCGACCCACGTCCCTTTCTGGGATGCGTTTTCGTGTGCTACTGAAAATCATCTTTCCATGTAAATGTTTTCTGGCATACTGCACATGTTATTAACACTTCCTCCTTAGGAGTTTCTGTCACGTTTCAGAAGTTCTGTCTATGTTTTGGCCACCAAGGAACATCCCTTTGCCATATACTGTGCAGCTCTCGTGGGTCTGTGGCCGCGTAGGCCCAGCCTGCTGGGTGCGGTGGGTGCTTCCTGATCCCCCCGGGCACTCTTGAGCAGCAGGTCACTGGTGTGCTGGCCCTGTTGGATATCCAGCTGCTGATGCTTCTTAAAGATCTTCTGAAAGCCTTCAAATCGCATACCTGTTGTCTTTGCGCATTTTCATGTTTGCATTGAAAATATTTCTTCAAGTTTGATTTTGCGTTGAATTTTTGCTTACAGCCACCAGCTGCACAGCTTTCCTCCCGTGTGAATGAGGACGTGGGGACTCAGGTGGTAGTCCCTGACGAAAGTCTTATCATGCCCTTCATTGCCACAAACAAATGGTCTCCGCCTTGTGCTCGCATAGGTCTGGCTTGCAGGCCTTGTGGTAATTGGCACTGCGTCGAGGAGGGAGTGGATGAACCTCCTGGGAAGTGCTGTGGTCAGGGGATGTGAGGGTCTCCCTGGTCTCAAGGGTCAGGGAGGACACTGCCTCCAGGACACGCTACTTATGCATCCCACCATCCAGTTTTACTTGGCCTCAAAACTGGAAACATATGGTATCAATACTTAGGCTTCATGTATTTTAGGTTAAGGGTGTAAACATTTATTCAGCTCCTACTGTATGGCAGAATCTACATTGCTGTTAGAAATATAAAAATGGGTCAGGTGTAGTGACTCATGCCTCTTAATACCAGCACCTTGGGGTCCTGAGGTGGGAGGATTGCTTGAGCCTGGGAAGTCGAGGCTGCTGTGAGCCATGATTGAACCACTGCACTCCAGCCTGGGCCACAGAGTGAGACTGCATCTTAAAAAATAATAAATAAAAACCGGGTGTGATGACTTATGCCTGTAATTCCAGCACTTTGGAAGGCCAAGACAGGCGGATCACTTGAGGTCGGGAGTTCGTGACCAACCTGCCCAACATGATGAAACCCTATCTCTACAAAAAAATACAAAAATTAGCTGGGCTTGTTGGCAGGCGCCTGTAATCCCAGCTACTTGAGAGGCTGAGGCAGGGGAATCCCTTGAACCCAGGAGGTGGAGGTTGCAGTGAGCCGAGATCGTGCCACTGCACTCCAATGTGGGTGACAGAGCGAGACTCTGTCTCATCAATAAATAAATGAATGAGAAATATAAAAGTGATTGTCACAGAGTTGGCAATGGGGACAATAAGCTGGTTATGAGTACAGAGGCAGAGCGGGGCGATCACCCGTGGAGTCCCCGGCGTCCTAGGGATGCAGGAGACGGAGAGGCCTGGCACCCAGAGGCCTTGAGAGTGCAGGAGCAGGAACCGCAGGGCTCCCATTGTTTCTCTGAGGTCATAAACCCGAATATTAAACTTTGGCTATTTTGGTCGTTTGTCATTTTCCTGCATGTGCACAGGATTTCCTCATCACCCTATGCGTGTTCCGATGAAAAAGATCCCCAGAGATGTTGTGTGGAATGATTTCCTCCGGGGGGCAGAAGGCAGAAAGCCATGCCCAAGCCTAAGCCTGCTGTGTACTCCCGGTGTGTGTGGCGCCTGTCTCCATACCACTCCTCCATGAGCCGCTTCCCACTCACAGCCACCACCTTCCTCTTGGCCCAGGCGGTCAACCACCAAGTGCACGCAATTTGTTTTTTACCAAGAAAAGCAGTTAACAGTTCTGTTTTCTTTCTATGTCATTATGTAATGAACTTTTTTTTTTTTTTTTTTTTTTTTTTTGAGACGGAGTGTCACTCCATAGCCCAGGCTGGAATGCAGTGGCGTGATCTTGGCTCACTGTAAACTCTGCCTCCCGGGTTCACGCCATTCTTCTGCCTCAGCCTCCCAAGTAGCTGGGACTACAGGCACCCGCCACCGTGTCTGGCTAAATGTTTTTTGTATTTTTGGTAGAGATGGCATTTCACCTTGTTAGCCAGGATGGTCTCAATCTCCTGACCTTGTGATCCACCCGCCTGGGCCTCCCTTTGTGCTGGGATTACAGGCGTGAGCCACCGCGCCCGGCCGAACATTTTCATATTATTAAAATGAGTTGAAATCCTTACTCCTAGGTACTGCATAACTTATATCATCATACTTTATGTGACTATATATAGTATGTATATGTATATGATGTGCATATATGATATGCTATATATGTATCTGTATATAATATATATGTTATACTATATATACTATATATGTATGTGTACATATATGTATATATTTGTCCAGTTTGTCCGGTTAATTTTATAAGGTCAGTTAGGAAATAGTATTAAACAAATTTTAAAAATTAAGTTCTCATGGAACACAAAAGATAAAATTATTAAAAACAACTCCATTTTTCCTTTTCTTTTCTCCACAGAACCATCCGGGTATGGCTGAAAAGAGACAGTGGTCAATACTGGCCCAGCATTTACCACACAATGGCCTGTAAGTAGCTGAACTGTTCCATTTGAGAGAAATGTCTCTAATGTTATTGATGATTTAAATTTCAAAATATCGACTGGATACGGTGGCTCACACCTGTAATCCCAGCACTTTGAGAGGCCAAGGTGGGGAGATCACCTGAGGTCAGGAGTTCGAGACCAGTCTGACCAACATGGCGAAAGCCCGTCTCTACTAAAAATACAAAATTAGCTGGGCGTGGTGGTGTGTGCCTGTAATCCCAGCTACTCAGGAGGCTGAAGCAGGAGAATCACTTAAATCCAGAGTGGGAGGTTGTAGTGAGTTGAGGTTGCTGCACTGCACTCCAGCCTGGGCGACAGAATGAGACTCTGTCTCAAAAAAATAAAAATAAATAAGTTTCAAAATGTCTGATTAAATATTGCTTCTAGATTTCAAAATGAGTTTCTTAGTTGCCTAATACCTCTGACAGGCTCTAATAAACTGCAGGAAAAGTCCTTTTTTTTGCAAAGGAAGTTGAGTCTATGGCTTAACTGAATTAGACTTGAGCAAAACTGAAAAAAAAAATAGGAAAATGAACATGTTCTCCTCAGTTTTTCTTTGTCTTAACTTGGCCAACTTATATTAGTAGTAACTTTGTCCTTTGTAGTAGCCAATATCGACACGAAGAAAGGACTGTGCCCTCCATAGCGTCATGACTACCTTTGCCCAACCTTTTCACCAACCTCTGGACTATTGAGAGACATGGTCCAAGGTACAACACATTCTAAATAGAGAATTTTCTCAGCAGTCAGGTATGTTCTGTAAATAAATCTGGATGATGAAACTTCTGCTTGGAGCCTTTAAAGCAGCCCTGGAGGCCAGGCGTGGTGGCTCATGCCCGTAATCCCAGCACTTTGGGAGGCCAAGGCGGGTGGATCACCTGAAGTCGGGAGTTTGAGACCAGCCTGGCCAACATGATGAAACCCCATCTCTACTAAAAATACAAAATTATCCTGTAATCCCAGCTACTCAGGAGGCTGAGGCAGGAGAATTGCTTCAACCCGGGAAGCAGAGGTTGTGGTGAGCCGAGATCACACCACTGCACTCCAGCCTGGGCAACAAGAGCAAACTCCATCTCAAAAAAAAAAAAAAAAAAAAAGAAAGAAAAAAAGAAAGAAAAAAAAAAGCCCTGGGATGTACTGACATAAAGTGACACATAAACTTTAGCCCTTGATGTGAATCTTAGCAGCATCACCATCCTTACCTCCTGCTTCTTTTCTTCAACCGTTCTTGAAAAGAAAGCCATGTAGACAATGCCTGGACGTCACCAAAGTTCAAGCAGGGAGTCAACTCCGTTATGCCAAGTAGCCAGATAGAAGGCCTCCGTAGCTGCTAATTTCCTTGAGGCTTGGTCCTTAATGAGTGATTTTCCTCAGTTAAGATTTTTAATACACAGAGGACCCTCCCTAAGAAAAGAAAAAAGACTTCAGTGCATGCTTGATGGTTTGTTACTGAAGACCATTATCAAGTTTTCCAAAGAAGAGCTCTTGACAGTGGTCGCAGATGCTGCTGATGCTGTCCACTGCTTTCTTAAGAGGTATTCCAGGGCTGTGGAGTTTGTTATAAAGACAGAGCAGCCCGTTATTCAGCAAACTACATCTCATCAGCTTGAGTCATCCTTTCAGGCACCTCTCTCCTCTGGTAGCATTTTCTCCTTTATACATATGTTTCATTGTGCATGCAGCATTTAGATCCTGTAATAATTTTCACAAAAAGTTCGTAGTTTATTAGGGTTTTTTATTTTTCTGCCTTCTACCAACAGCCTGAGCAGGCTAGCCAGCTTCTTTGTCTTGGTAGTCACTCAGTGAAATTGAGAGACCTTCTGGAACCCTAGTATAAAGATAACTATTATGAAAGGAACAGTAAAGCTTTATAATGCATAGGACATTTGAAGACTTCTTGAAAACCTGATCATAATTTATTGTGCCAAGCAGTGGCATCTCTTCTGTTACCCACGTCTGCATGTACTGTGGATGCATAACCTTGGTTCTCACACTAAATTCTCACCTTGAGATATGAAGTAACAGACATCTTAGTGAAGGTGTTTATGGAGCCTGTCTGATAAATTTACTTTGGAAATTTTAGCAGCAGGGTAGAGGTAGGTGGGACATCCTGGGCCTCTGAGCCCACCTGTGACCCAACCTGCCCTATTCTCCCAAAAAGACTTGTTAGGCTAATTCCTTACTTTCCAGTGACCCAGAGATAGATCTGAGAGCTGGAAGTAGCAACAGCCTGAGGAACACATATCAGTGCAGGGAAATGTTTTGTTATCATGGTGGAAAATGTTGTTAATACTGTGGCTGTTATGCTTCCCACTCTTCCCTTCCTTCATAATTAGCTTTTTGGTCATAGCTTAATCTCCCTGAGTCCTTAATCTTGAAGTTCATTCTCATTAGAATAGAAACAGAGACTGAGATGGATTTTGTCCCATATTTAGTTCAGTTACTTCTTGACTTGCATTTCCCCCAAATAATTTAGTACAACTTTCTGATGAATTTCTCTCCCAGGGCACCAAAACCTTAGCAGTAGAAATGTGTGTTCTCTCTTGGCTGTTAGATCTCGAGCAAGTGGCGGTGGATCTCTCTGTCTTCATCCCTTTCTAACTTGGCTTAACTGTCCCCTCCTGAAGGAGCTTCTAGCTCAGGAAGGAGGAATTTGAAAGAACAGACACAGCTTTGCAGTGGGTAGTTGACACCTGCATGTTTGTGTCTGCACATGTTCAGTGTGTTACTTCTAGATGCTTCTTTATTGCTTCTATTTGGACCTGTATCTGCTGATAAAACTGCAGGTACACCACAAGAAGAAAACAGAGTGAACGAATTGTGAAAAATAACTGCTTGTCTGTTTTAGAATGACTTTTTATTTCAAAATTAAATTTAGAATACGAAAAGTAGAATGCCATGTTAGTTCTAAAAGCTATCTGCAGATTATCCAATTTAGGATGTCTTAGTGGTTATATCCATCAATTTAAACTTTTTCCTGTGACTTGACAGAGTGATCAATAAGCCAAGCCTTATTATACTGCTATATGCAGTCCAATTATGTTCTTTCTATAACATTACCTCACATAAAAAAAAAGTTCAGACTCTGCTTTAGCTGAAAAAAATGGTAACTCTTGGCTTCTATCTTTACTGTGTATTTCGTGCCTTTTTTTTGGTAATATAGTTTTATGAAACCATCACAACAGCTATGCAAGGCAGATAATACTTTTACCATTTTGTGAACAAGCAAGCTGAAGTTAGAAGGGTTAAGTTGATTTCTTGTCATTGGAATTCCAATCCATGTTCATCTATGACTCCAAACCTATGCTTCCCACCACAGTGATGGGTAGGTCCACAAACTTTTTATGCAAAGGGCCAGACAGTAAACATTTGGACTACGTGGGCCAATCTCTGTGGCACTTACTCAAGTCTGCCTTCCTAGCATGCAAGCAGTCATAAATAAGACATAAATATGGCATGTGAGCAATCATAAGTTATACATAAATGTAGCATGCAAGCAATCATAAATGAAAGGTCTGTGTTCCAAAGGAAAAAAAAAAACTATTAACAAAATATGCAGTCAGCTGAATTTGGCCCTGTGGTGTGATCCAAAGTTTTAAACATTTGATTTTGGACTGCAATGATGGCTTTTTAAAAGTTCATTGACTTCGTTGGGCACTGTGGCTCATGCCTGTAATCCCAGCACTTTGGGAAGCCGAGGCAGGCTGATCATTTGAGATTGGGAGTTCGAGACTGGCCTGGCCAACATGGTGAAACCCTGTCTCTACTAAAACTACAAGAATTAGCCTGGTGTGGTGGTGGGTGCCTGTAATCCCAGCTACTCAGGAGGCTGAGACCGAGAGTCGCTTGAACCCAGGAGGCGGAGGTTGCAGTGAGCTGAGATGGCACCACAGCTCTACAGCCTGGGTGACAGAGCGAGACACCATCTCAAAAAAAAAAAAAAAAGTTAACTGATTTGAAAGATGATTCCTGTTTTGCTTTATATCCAAACCCTCCCCTTCTATATTACATTTATATTGTTTATCTCAATTAGAAACCTCCTTTCCAGGGAGCCAGGATATCACTATATAATACAAAACAAACTAAGGAAACCCTTTTTTTCTTTTTAAATGTTATAATTGTCTAGCTTCATAAAATTACCCAGCACTTCGTAATTTTTACACAAGATTTTACATATTTATGTTGTTTGTTATAGGATTGGGCATTAAAAAAATTGAAGCTTAAAACTAATGCATTTAGTGCCATCTAGAAAGCAAGCAAAAATGATGACAGTGAATCTCTGAACGCATCAAAGCATGATTTGATTTGTCAAAGATAAGTGTGCATGGTTATTAAAGAGCATTTTGATAGTATAAAGGTATGTATATCTATCTTTGTGGTCATAATTCTTAAACTGGATTGTTCTTTTCATCTCAAACATCAGTATGGCGGATAAGGAGTATACAGGCTCATAGTCAATTCTAATTGTTTTGTGCACAATTTCAGTACGTACCTTTCAGAGTCAACTACGCAGTTCTTGGATGCAACTGAAACAGTCTCTATGGTCTGATCATGCAGTTAGCTATGTTTTCGCTTTGGGGTACAATCCAGTATTGTAGTTTACTTCCTTTTGTGAGGATATCGGCCTACGAGAGAGAGAACTTTAAACTATATTCAAATGGTGACTTCATTTAAAAGATGTTTTTTCTTTTACCTTTTTTTTTTTTTTTATTTTTGAGATGGAGTCTCACTATGTTGCCCAGGCTGGTCTCAACTCCTGGCCTCAAGCAATCCTCCTGCCTTGGCCTCCCAAAGTGCCGAGATTATAGGCATGAGCCACCATACCCACTCGTCTTTTACAAGAAGTTCTATTCCAAAGTAAATTCAAATTTGTTTGTTTTGTTTTGTTTTTCCCTAGCATGCATTTCCTTGTTTTGGTTCTTCCATTGCTAACTAAAATTCTTTAGGCTGAAACAAACCCAAATATATATTTTTTCAAATGTTCCAATTTATAAATCACTTTAATTCTAATTTTTGGTAAAAGACAATTTAGAATTTCTCCTTTCTGAAACTCATTCTCTAGCCTGTGATTTCTTTAAGCAGGTAGGTAGAACATGGAAAGAGTGTTTACATGAGGAGAGGCAGCTGTTCTCCCAGTCACATAAGACTGCTATGGACAAGGAAACCTGTCTGCACTTCACAACTCACATTTGCCATATATCTGCACCTCACATATGCTCACATATGCCATAGAATAGGAATTCTGGTGCTGGGAACCCATCTTTGCACAGATTCTAGCTACTCTTTGACATTTGATGGGAAGGGTGGCAGGGGCGGGATGACCTCCTGAGTGTGTGGGCAGCAGATCACACACTGCAAGCCCTGGTCCCCAAGGCTTGCCAGACGACAGGTAGGACTTTCAGTCAGATGAAACTTCGTGCTGGCTCGCTTCACCCAGCATTATAGAAATAACTGAGAAGATTTGTGAAAATAAGGTTTTAAACTAAGGCAACAGAGAGAACTTTAATAACATTTTCAATTTATGTAATTTTTAGAAAACATTTTTTCTCTCTCTCTGTGAACCTAAACTGTATAGTTCTTAATCAGTCACTTTGAAGAATGACTTAAAGTGCTTAGCTTTGCTGGTAATGTGCTCTTTGTCTTTCTGGCAGCTCCTTGCTCTGCTATGGCTTACCATCATGACAGCAGACGGATATTTGTGGGCCAGGATAATGGAGCCGTAATGGTAGGTAGCTTTTAGAATGTATTTATTATTTTCTTTATATTGACCTCCCATGTCCCTTATTGGCCAGTTAACTTTGGATTAACAATGGATGCTTGATTGTTTGGCATGAAAAATGTTTAATTTAGGCCAGGCGTGGTGGTTCACATCTGTAATCCCAACATTTTAGGAGGCTGAGGCAGACAGATCACTTGAGCCCAGGAGTTTGAAACCAGCCTGGGTAACACAGTGAGACCTCATCTCTACAAAAAATCAAAAAAATTAGTTGGTAGTGGTGCATGCCTGTGGTCCCAGCTACTTAGGAGACTGAGGTGGGAGGATGGCTTGAGCCCAGGAGGTCAAGGCTGCAGCTAGCTGAGATTGCACCACTGCACTTTCACCTGGGCAACAGAGGGAAACCATGTCTCAAAAGAAAAACAAAAAAAGTTTTAATTCAGTATAGATATTAGGTCAAAAATGGATTAAATTGTTGCTTCATTTTAAACTAGTTCCTTGGAACTCAGAATGCTGTTGTAATTGATAGCTGGATGCTCAGGCTGACCCACAGATCATAGCCTTCATAGAGTGAATATGTCACCTACAGCAGTCCCCATCCCTCAGCTGTGATGGTGGAGAGCCTCTGTGTGTGTGTGTGTGTGTGTGTGTGTGTGTGTGTGTGTAGCCATTCAGCCAGCAGCTCACAGAACTCTTTAAGGCAATACTTCTCAAACTATCTTTGGTAAAGGACGTGATATTTAAGTTTTAGTCTATTATAGATTGGCATTTTTGTGGGTCGAATTGTATGCATATATTTATTTTTTCTTAATTGAAATATAACTTATATAACAATTATATTTACCATTTTAAAGTATATAATTCTGTGGTCTTGTAGTATATTCATAAGATTGTGCAACCATTACCATTCTCTAATTCCAGAATATTTTCATCACCCCTCCCTGCAAAAAAATCCCATACCCGTTAGCAGTCCCTCTCCATTGCCCCTTCCCCCAGCTCCTGGAAAGCACTAATTTACTGAATGCAAGGATTTGCCTATTTTAGACACTTTAGATTAATAGACTCATACAGTATGTGTGGCCTTTTATGTTTGTCTTTCACTTAGCGTGATGTTTTCAAGGTTCATGCCTGTTTGAATTAATTCATTCTTTTGGCCGTGGAATAGTATTCCATACTGCACTTGGTTTATCCCTTTATTAGTTGATAGACATTTGGGTTGTTTTCACTTTTTGGCTATTATCGATAACGTTACTATGAAAATTCATGTACATGTTTTTTGTACGTATTCCGGTTCTCCAAATCCTTGCTAACACTTGTCATTTTCTGCTTGTTTTGTTTTGTTTTGTCATCCTGGTGGATGTGAAGTGGTACTAGATTGTGGTTTTGATTCGCCTCTTCCTAATCACTAGTAATGGTGAGGATCTTCTTAGGTCATTTATATCTTGTTGGTCATTTATATCTTCTTTGGAGAAATATCTATTTAAGTCCTTCGCCCATTTTTAATAGAGTATTTTTAAATTGTTGAGTTGTAAGAGTTTTTTCTGTATGTTAGATACTAGACCCTTATCAGATATATGTTCTGCAAATATCTTCTCCTAAGAGCTGCCTTTTTACTTTTTTATTTTTAAAGTTTAGTGAAGTCCAATGTATCTTTTTTTTTTTTTTTTTTTTTTTTTTTTTGGCTACTTAAGCTTTAGATACCATATCTAAGAAGCCATTGCCTAATCCAAGGTCATTTATACCTATAAAGATAGGTATAAATCAAGATTTACACCTGTATTTTCTTCTGAGAGCTTTATAGTTTAGCTTTACATTTAGATCTTTGATTTATTGTAAGTTAATTCTTATATGTGGTATCACAGAGGGGTTCCACATTTATTCTTTTGTATGTGGACATCCAGTTATCCCAGCACCGATTGTTGAAAAGACTATTTTTTTCCCATTTAATTTTCTTGGCATCTTTGTCACAGAGCCAGCCGGCAGAGAGCCAGGGAAGTTTCCAGAAGTCAGTATCCAGAAGACCCAAGTGGCAAGGATCTCTGTGCATCAGAGGACTCAGAGGAGGTTATAGTGGCTTGCTGGTGGGGGTGATAGGGAGCCACCCTAGGGCGATTGGAGAAGTGGGCAGAGGCCACCAGGTCGTGCAGGGTGTTGTAAGTCTGGGTAAAGCTTTAAATTTTAATGTAATTGCAGTGAGAAGCTGTTAAAGTGTTTTCACAGATGAATAGCATGATATAATTTACATTTTTCAAAGGTCCCTCTAGCTGCTGGGTGGAAAACGGATTGAGGGGCGGCCAGAGTGGCGGTGGGATAATCGGGCTCTTTTGGCGGTCTGGGTGAAAGGACAGTGGCCGTGAAGAAGGACAAGTGGATGGACTTGAGATAAGTCTTGGAGACATCTGAGATAAGTTGACTGTGTAGAGGAGAGGAAGAGAAGTCGGGTGACAGCCAGGTTTTTGGCTTGAGCAGTTGGGTAGGAAGTAGTATTGTTTGCTGAGAAGGGTAAGGCTGGGCTAGGGAGGCAGTTAGAGGGAGGGGGACAGTGAGAGCCAGCCTCGTTTGAGATACCAGTGAGCTTCTGACTGGCCATGTGAAGTTGGCGCAGGATAAACAAAACTGGAGCCCCAGAGAGGTCTGGGCAGAGGACATCATCATCAGGTCATTTTTCAAGCCACAAGAATGATTGAGTAGCTGGGGAGGGAATGAAAGAAGTCGGGGCCCAGACCTGAGGCCTAAATAATGACAGTGTTTTGGAGTGGAGTCGAAGAGGAGGCCAGTCAGGGAGGAGGGGAAGTGATGATCCTTGAGTGTGACTTTAAGGGGCCCAGACCACCTTATGTTAGCTGAATTTCCTGACCTTGCATAGTCACGCCTGTCATTGAGGGAACTTAACTAAAATACAGATTTCCCCAGCTCTATACCAGACCCAGAGCTTCAGAATCACTAGGGAGGGACCTGGGGATCTGTGTAATAAGTAGCAAGTCCTCTAGGTGAACCCAAGGATCAAGTGCTTTAGGGAAACCACATGGTTTCGCTAAAACCATTGAGGAGCAGGAACAGGTTTCTGGTTTTTCTCAGCTCAGAAATGTGTAGCAGGCTTTGAAGGGACAAGGCTGAAAGTACAGGTGCCAGTTAGCAGGCGGCCTCTGCATCCCAGTGTGAGATCGTGAAACACCGGGGTGGGGAGGAGAAGAGGCTGTGGATCGTGAAACACCGGGGTGGGGAGGAGAAGAGGCTGTGGCCTCAAGAACTGTCTGGGAAGCAGGGCTGGGTGTTTGAATAAAGGTGCGTGTTGAAATAGAGAGCTGCTTTAAGATGACTTTCAGGTTTCTAGCCAGGAGTTAGCTGCTTCAGAGACAGAAAAGATGCTGATCTTTTTTGGGGAAAAGTGATGAGTTAAGTTTTGAGAACTGAACTTGGGTGTGTGTGCCTGAACCTCAGGGTTTGGTCTGGGCAGGGGTTGGGAGTTCCCTGAACGTAGACGTCAGTGGAAACTACAACGGTGGCTGCCGTGAACTAGACAGAGCTGGTAGATTGAGAAAAGCAGAAGGCCAAGGTCACATTCCTAGGGAAATATTAATATTTAAAGAAAAGCCAGAGGGCTGGGAGCCTAAAGGAGAGACAGGAAGAATAGGCAAAGAGGGAGGAGAGCCAGCCAGGACAGTGCAGCCACGGAAGCCGGAGGGCAGTGAGTTTCAGGGAGGAGGTGAGTAAAGGTGTCAAGGGCAGGAGGGAGAGGATGAAATTAGGCCTAGGCAGTGCTCTTGGGATGGCACTTAGAAGGCAGCTGCTGATAACAAGAAGAGCCTTTCCGTGCAGTGGGGTAGCCCTGGTGAGCCATGGACTTGAAGTGTGACTGGGAGATGAGGGAGCCAGAGAGCCTGAGGGTAACCAGGTGGGCTGGTCATTAGAGAAACTTTTGGCTGAGAAGGGGACAACGAAAGTAGAAGTATAGTTATGAGAGTTTCTTTTTTTTTTTTTTACTGAAAGCAGCAGCCTTGGACCAGGTGTGGTGGCTCATGCCGATAATCTCAGCACTTTGGGAGGCTGAGGCAGGAGGATTGAGCCCAGGAGTTGGAGACCAGCCTGGGCAATATAGTGGGACCTCATTTCTACAAAAATTAAGAAAATTCGCTTATTGTGGTGTCATACCCATGTAGCCCCACTACTCAGGAGGCTGAGGTGGGAGGATCACTTGAGCCTGGGAAGTGGAGGTTGCAGTGAGCAGAGATTGCACCACCGCACTCCAGCCTGAATGGCAGAACAAGACCCTGTCTCAAAAGAAGGAAAAAAAAAAAAAAAAAGAAAGAAAAAGTAGCAGCAGCCTTGATGTAAGGGTCAAGAAGAAAGATCCAGTAGAAGGGACAGGCTCCCTGCCCATGCAGTTCACACAGCAGCGGGCTGCAGGCGAGGGTGCTGGAAATGCATGACACAGTAGTGAATGCCAAAGCTCTCCATTTTAGCCTTCAGTAAATGTTATGAGAATATCATGATGATGTGCATGCACATATATAACGAGAAGCCACTAAGTACAAGCTTCACATAGCGCAGTAGTGCAGTGTTGGTGCATTTATCTCCCTAGGGACCCTTTTTGTGGCCTTCAGTTCAAGGGGAGACTGTCATTGTAGGATGGCACATAAGAACTGTTATAGTTGTTCAATGGAAAGGGGCAAGGCAAATCCAATTTAACATTAGTCAGCAGTTGATCAATTGCTCTTCCACTGAATACAGAAGAATATATACCGTGCTGATACATTTTTTTCTACTTCGCAAAAACAAGATGGAGAACAAGAAATCTGTATTCTTTTGTGTGCTTTTTTCCCCCCTCACTCTGGTCTGTCAGCCATTCATAATATCCATGTCAATTTAGCATTGATCAATAATAGTATTCTTGGCTGGGCGCAATGGCTCATGCCTATAATCCCAGCACTTTGGGAGGCCAAGGCCGGTGGATCACTTGAGACCACGAGTTCAAGACCAGGCTGGCCAGCATGGTGAAACCCCGTCTGTACTAAAAATACAAAAAAAATTAGCCAGGTGTGGTGGCACGCACCTTTAGTCCCAGTTACTCAGGACTCCGAGGCACAAGAATCGCTTGAACCCAGGAGGCGGAGGTTACAGTGAGCTGAGATTGCATCACTGTACTCCAGCCTGGGTGACAGAGCGAGACTCTGTCTCAAAATAATAATAATATGATAATAATAATGGTAGTACTAGTAATTAGTGATTTTTCTTTAGAGTTTTATTTTCATAGTTTTATGTTGAGGTTGATTTTTTTTCAATAAAACGTATGTACTTTAAATTTCTTTTCCAAGTTATAAAGGATTACATCTATAGAAAATTTGGGGCCAGGTGCAGTGGCTCACACCTGTAATCCCAGCACTTTGGGAGCCTGAGGTGAGTGGATCACCTGAGGTCAGGAGTTCGAGACCATCCTGGCCAACATGGTGAAACCCCATCTCTACTAAAAATACAAAAATTAGCTGGGCGTGGTTATGCACTCCTGTAATCCCAGCTACTCAGGAGCCTGAGGCAGGAGAATCACTTGAACCTGGGAAGCAGACGTTGCAGTGAGCCGAGGAAGCAACAAGAGCGAAACTCTGTCTGTAAATAAATAAATAAATAAATAAATAAATAAATAAATATCGGAAAACACGGGAGTATAAAAAGAAGCCAAAAACCACCCACAATCTCAATACTTCTTTTTTGTTGTTGTTGTATGTGTTTGTATATTAAATAAGTGTACTTTCCCCCACTAAATTGCTGAGCTACCCAGCGCCCTGTTTTTACTTTGCTGAGAGCTCTGTTAGTGAGGGGTCTTTGCAGTTTTGCTTTAATATGCAGTGTCTTGAGGGGTTTTTTTGTGTCCCTAAGAGAATACAGTTTTGTAGTGGGAGGGAGAAGGAATACGGAGTGCTGATTTGGGCAGGAAGAAGTGGACACAAATCCCATGCTAGTCAGCAGCACTTACTTTTATTCAATTAGGTCTGTTCTCCCAAAGCGATGTTGGCCTGAGGACAGGTCTGATGAAAGAAGCAATTCATATCATTCCTAAATAACTCATCTTAAGTCCCAGGTCTTGTGAGAATCATTTTTGCGTTTTACTTCATTTTTGAAAGTTAAGTTTCTGTTGTTTTATAAAACCATAACTCTTTAAAAAATTTTTATTTTGTGCATTTGCTTTTAGGAATTTCACGTTTCTGAAGATTTTAATAAAATGAACTTTATCAAGACCTACCCAGGTAATTATAATACATATTATCTTGCGTACACATACATGTAGACATACACAAAACTAGAACATCATCTCTTATGATGAAAATTAGATTTTCACATTAACTTGTTAGTTTTGTTACCCCCACAATGTGAGAGACTGTTGTCTTTTAGTGATATTTCAGCTTTTTCTTGCTCATTAGCATTTAAAATTTTGTATATCAGGTACATTATCAGATTTAATTAACCATTCTTTTATTATTGGATATGTGTACTGCTTCCATTTTTTTGATAACACACACTACTCTTCATACATGTATGTGTGTGTATATAACTGAGTGTGTGTACAGTTTTTTGATATGTGTATACGTGTGTGTGTGTGTGTGTATTCTTGAATAAGTGTATACACATATGTGGGGGGTATTCTTGACTGTTATTCTGACTGTAATCCTATAATTCATTTGTTTCGTTTTGTTTCGTTTAAATAGAGACGAGGTCTCAGTATGTTGCCCAGGCTGGTCTGGAACTCCTGAGCTTAAGTGACCCTCCCACCTCAGTCCCTCCCATTCTCAGCACCTTTGGGTGCTCAGAATTTAGCACCCAAAGTGCTAGAATTCAGGTGTGAGCCACCACACCTGGCCAAATCTGTAATTCTGATTATTTAAGACAAATCCCGAAGTGCTCAGTGAGGAATTATTTTTTTTTTTTAAAGACAAATTCCTACAAAGTGGAATAACCAGGTCAGACATTAAAAAGTTTTTTAAATGCCCTAGGTTTACTTTGCAAACTGCTTCACAGCAATAGTGCAAGTTTTTACAGTCCTGCGAATGGCGACTGAGAATACGTGTTCATGACGTCTTCACAACATTGCTGCCTTATAATTTCTTTTTCCTGTTTAATAGTCAAGAAAGTTCGCAATTTGAAAATGATTTAAGCTTTATTTAATGTTGACCACTTGTCATATTTTCTGAATATCTGTTTATGATTTTGTGCGTATTCCCAGGGAGGTGTAGTGTTTTCTAACTGATTTATAAGCACTTTTCACTACAAAGCTATCAATACTTTGTGGCATCTGTGACATATACCTTTTTTTCAGTTTTTACTTTATTTAGTAAATTTCAGTATTTTAAAACTTAACAAAAGCAAGATCCCAATGACAACTTCAGACTGAAGTTGCAAAACTAAAGCATTTTGGTTAAGTTGTGGATTCCCATCAGACCAATTAGCTGATTCCCAGAAACTTCACCAGAAGATGTAACATGTAGCCTCATTTTATTCACTCTATACTTCTAAAATTTTGTATTTAATGCTTGTGGATAAAGGTAAGAATTAGAGTGTAGATGTTTTACATACGTGTTCATCTTGATGCAATGTGGTCTAATGATAGGATACTTTATTAAGAAGGCCAAATTGCTTTTTCCTATGTATTGTTTCACCTGTTCCAAATTTAAAATAGGAGGAAAGCATCCAGGTGCAGTGGCTCACCCCTGTAATCCCAGCACTTTGGGAGGCCGAGGCAGGTGCCTCACTTGAGGTCAGGAGTTTGAGGCCAGCCTGGCCAACGAGGTGAAACCCCGTCTCTACTAAAAATAACAAAAATTAGCCGGGCGTGATAGCACATGCCTGTAGTCCCAGCTACTCAGGAGACTGAGGCAGGAGAACTGCTTGAACCCAGGAGGTGGAGGTTGCAGGGAACCGAGATCGCACCACTGCACTCCAGCCTGGGCAACAGAGGGAGATTCCGCCTCAAAAATAAATAAATAAAATAGGAGAACAGTGATGCAACAATGCCCGTACATTTGCCCTTGGAGTATGTTGGTCAGGGAAACTGTTTTGTGACATGAATAACACTTTCCAATCTTGCATTGAGTAATGTACTACTAGCATCATGGTGTTATTGTAACACCAGAAACAACTTTGAATTCTCAGCTATCATGCACGGGTTTATCTTTAAAATAATCAAGAATCTGTAAGTTCCTTTACGAGGTATATACCTACAAGTTTGGAGATCTTTAAATGCCTGATTTGGAGACCCTTAAATGCCTGGTCAATGTTTTTGTCAAAAGGCAAATTCCTTAATAAATTATTTCACCTGGCCAGTTATAGTAGCTCCCACCTGTAATCTTAGCACTTTGAGAAGCCAAGGAGTTTGAGACCAGCCTGGGCAACATAGACCGTACCTCTGTAAAAAATTAGCCAGCCATGGTGGCACGCACTGTAGTCCCAGCTACTTGGGAGGCTGAGGCGGGAGGGTCATTTGAGCCCAGGAGTTAGAGATTACAGTGAGCCATCATCAGACCACTGCACTCCAGCCTGGGCAACAAAATGAGACCCTGCCCCCCGCCTTTAAAAAAAAAAAAAAAAAAAAAAAAAAGAGTGTGTGTGTGTGTTTGTATTTTTCATCTGTCATTAAGGATGAAATTATTTCATACTCACATCTCATGTTATTTTTATCTATATTTTGGCTGTCAAAGTTCTTTTTTTTTTTTTTTAAGAAAGAGCCTCACTCTGTTGCCCACACTGGAGTGCAGTGGTGCGATCTCAGCTCACTGCAACCTCCGCCTCCAGGGTTCAGCCGATTCTCCTGCCTCAACCTCCCTAGTAGCTGGGATTATAGGTGCGAGCCACCATGGCCAGCTAATTTTTTGTATTTTTAGTAGAGACGGGGTTTCACCATGTTGGCCAGGCTGGTCTTGAACTCCTGGCCTCAAGTTATCCACCCGCCTTGGCCTCCCAAAATGCTGGAATTACAGGCATAAGCCACCATGCCCCGCCAGTTGTCATAGTTCTTTTTGGGCTATAAGACAGCATAGGTTTCTTTTGCAGTGGTTCTTGGACCTTTATATTTCATTGACTAATAACATTTTAGAAAACTTTTGGAGGACTAATATAGGGATTGCTGTATTTTTTATTTTGCCAAGTGAGAGTTTAAAAACTAAAAATGAAGCAAAATAAGCATGACTATATCTCACCATACTTTCACAAAAGAAAAGGGCATCTAAAAAATACAAAACAGCAGAAAGGATGTCATCTTAGAAATAGGATAGTTCTTCCCAGGAAAAAATAGTTGACTATTCACTACAGCATCTTTACCACAAACTAGTTTAAACCCTATGACTATTTGGCCCGAGTTTAACAACTACAGGTTTAGTGGAAAAGGTGTTTTGAGTCAGACAGACCAAATTAATCTATCACTTATTAGACTTTGGGCATATATTGATATTGATATTTAATTTATATTTATAAATATTTAATAAATACTTAATATTTGCTTCTCGGTTTTCTTATCTGAAAATCAGTATAATAATACACACCCTGTAAGTATTTATGCAAATTAAATATTAAAGCAGAAAAAGCATTAGGTTCCACATCAGACGCTGAGACAGATCTTACGAGACATGGCCTACTCAAATTTAATATTTTTTTCAGTTTTTAATTTTTATTTATTAATTAGAGACAGAGTCTCACTATCTTACCCAGGCTGGAGTGCAGTGGTACAAACAGCTCGATGTAACCTCCAACTCCTGGGCTCAAGAGATCTCCCACCTCAGCTTGCTGAGTAGCTAGGACTACAGGCAAGTGCCACCATGCCCAGCTGGTTTTAAAAATGTTTTTTGTAGAGATGGGGTCTTGCTTTGTTGCCCAGGTTGGTCTCCAACTCCTGGCCTCAAACAGTCCTCCTGCCTCGGCCTCCCAAAGCACTGGGATTATAGGTGTTGAGCCACTGTGCCCAGCTGAATTTAAGATTAATAGCTATCATAGCATCCTTTAAGTTTCAGAATCCTTCATGAGTATGTAATTGTTCAATGTAACCTTTCAGCGGTGGATGAATCTGACTTTCACGTAGACTTTTGGGGAGAGTCCCTCAGTTCTTCCTAAGCAGTCTGTACAGCTGAGAGCAAGGTCAGCAGTCTCTCTGTCTGGCCTTTGACTTCATTCATCAGATTGGACGCTTATTAAACATCTACTGCATGCAAAGTTCTGTACCAGATGAAGTAGAAGGCAGGTAACACTGCCCCGGTGTGGCTTATAATCGACCTGGAAATATTTCCAGAGTTAGGTAACAGACAGAAAACCTTCCTCATTCTCAGCTGTTATTTTGGAACAGAGAACTTCACAAAAGCTTTGTCTTTATGAATAATAAAATGTTACACACTGATAAAAAGTATTCCAGAAACAAAACACATAACACCGCTTTTTAATTTTAGAAAACTGCCATTGCTCTTATTTAGAATGCCAGTGTTTTCGGAAGGTTCAAAACACTGAAGTTACAGACGATTAAAAAAACATTGCCCTGTTACAACTGCTGCTTTCCACATGGTCCTCGTTCATAAAGGTTTTTAGAGCAAAGTAAAAATGTTCTCTTGAGCATAGCAAAAAAAGAATTATAATATATATATTTTTTGTATATATTATATATATTTTTTGTATATATAACATATATGTATATATTCTAAGCTAGTATTTGATTTCTCTTTGGGCATTACTCTTTAATGATTCCTAGCTTCTGGTGGCCACGACTGTGGGGAGCAGAGGGCAGAGCCTTGGAGAGAGCCTGTGCTAGTGAGTTGTTGAGCTGGGGCGGGTTGTCTGAAATATATTCACAGAGGATAGGCATTTCCAGTACACTCTTGTATGCAGCTGTGTCCCGGCTGAGCAGATTGAGAGATTGAGCCTCAGTTCTTCCCCATAGAGTGCTGTTTCTGGAGATGACATCTCTTCACGTTTCTGTTCCTGCAGCTCATCAGAACCGGGTGTCTGCGATCATCTTCAGCTTGGCCACAGAGTGGGTCATCAGTACTGGCTACGACAAGTGTGTGAGCTGGATGTGCACGCGAAGCGGGAACATGCTCGGGAGGCACTTCTTCACGTCCTGGGCTTCGTGTCTGCAGTATCCTTCAGAGCCACGGACCTCTCCTTCCCCTGGCCTCTGCTTCTCGGTGTTTGGTTCTGAATCTCATCCCAAACTGCTAATTGAGATCTAAAGACTGAATGAAACCTATTTAAGTTTGGGCAAAAGTAATTGTGTTTTTTTTTTTTTTTTTTTTTTTTTTTTTTGGCCATTGAAAGTAATTGCAAAAATTGCAATTACTTTTGCGCCAACCTAATACATATTTCACCGAAAATCCAAGAACTTCCATATTTGCTTTTCTTGCTGTAAATTGGGTTTATTAAAAATAATAATGAAATGAATTGTTCTCTGCTGGGAGGTGCTATAGGTTTTTAATACAAAATTGTAGAAAACCCAGGCCCATTAATGCAAACCCTTCCTCTCACGTCTTTGCATTTCTAATGGAAAGACTTTTTATTGTGTGAAGAAAGGAAAACAGGAACTTGTCTGCTAGTAATTGGTTATTTGCAGACTCTGTAAGTATACATACTGAATATTAAGGGTTTATAGCCTTGAGGTTTGTTCCTAAATGGGCTACAAGGAGTTTTACACAAAACTTTTGCTTAATGCTTTTTTGTGTGTGGAGAGGACCCATAATCCTTATAAAACTCTCAAAGATGGCTCAGGATCCCCCAAGGTGCTGAAAATCAGTGCCTAAAAAATTCCTGCTACTACATGGAATTTGCTTCCTGTAGAGCTCGCCCTTCCCTAAGGATTTCCCTGCCTGCTGTGTATCTTAGTGATGGCAAGATCAAGGTTATCAACAACAGGCAGACACCCCGTGGTAGTTTCTCTCTCAGAGTTAAATGTCTGGCATAGTAAAATTCCATCCATTGAAAGCGTTTCTTTACAATGTTTGCTACAAATGAATGCACAGCGTGAGATATTTAAAATAGTACCATATACTTTAGGATCAAACAAGCAAAAAATACTCAGATACAGTGTGTGCTACATAAGCATTTTTGTTATGTGCTAGGCCTCTGATAATGGATTTGTAGCAAATGACAGAGTCACAGTCATGCCCTAGTTTACCGTGCTCCTTTTTGACTGTGTTTTGGAAGAGTGACAGTTATCCTGTTGTAAATAGCTTTCGTATTATAAATACTAGTTAATATGTTGTGTATAAATTTCTGGTTTTCCAGAAATATCTATGGCCACAGATTGAGAAACTAATGAGTTGTGACCAATAGTTAATATATTTTCTAAATTTAAATGTACTACCGCCCCAAACAACTGCGTTTTGGATTATTAAACTATCCACAGTAATTTAAAGTGAATCATCCTCTTCATTTATAGCTAAATTCTCTAGGCCAAAAGAAACATGGATTCATGTCTTGTATTTACTGTCAGATTTGCGTTATTTTCAGAGATATTTCATAAATAACCATTATGTTTCAGAGCTTTCTTGCTGTTTTCAGTAGTTAGCATTCTTTTCTTTTCTTTCTTTCTTTTTTTTTGAGACAGTCTTGCTCTGTCACCCAGGCCGGAGTGGTGCAGTGGTATCATCTCAGCTCACTGCAACCTCTGCCTTCTGGGTTCAAGCTGTTCTCTTGCCCCAGCCTCCCAAGTAACTGGGATTACAAGTGTGTGCCACCACACCCAACTAATGTTTCGTATTCTTAGTAGAGACGGGGTTTCACCATGTTGGCCAGGCTGGTCTTGAACTCCTGACCTCAAGTGATCTGCCCACCTCAGCCTCCCAAAGTGCTGGGATTACAGGCATGAGCCACTGCACCCAGCCCAGTAGTTATCAGTTTCACTCTTTGACACTTTATTGTACTTGATTATGTCTACTTGTTTTTGTGTGTGTCTGCCCTACCAGCTCTTTTTTTATTGCCAGTTCCTGGGATCTTGCTTGATATAGTAACAGGCACTGAATGAGTTCTTGTTGAATGAATGAATATAAACTTTCTCAGTAATAACAGCTGTTTTAATGTTTACCTTCAATATTTACATATTGCATGATTTTCAGTTGGGTATTTCCTTTTTTGTTGTAGTTTTAGGTATATGCTTATTCTCTTTAAAATGCATGTTTTCTAACTTTAGAAACTAACTTTGACTAATGCTGGTGTCTCTCTTATGAGAGGATTTTCGGGTGATTTCTGTTCTACATCCTTGACTGCTTCTCCTCAGATATGACTTTGACACTCAGTATGCTTTCGTTGGTGATTGTTCTGGGCAGATCACCCTGCTGAAGCTTGAACAGAACACGTGTTCAGTCATCACAACCCTCAAAGGACATGAAGGTAGGCTATAATATCACCCAAGAGTGTTTTTTGCCTAACTTGGGCATTCAAATTCAGTTCTCCACTACGTGGATTCATGAATGCTCTGTTCCTCGTGATCTGTCAGATTTCATTTTGATTGGCCAGATATGGGATTCAGAGTGAAAACTAAGCGAAGGTGGGGTGATGGGTTCATTTCGTATTGTCGAAATCCCTTCTAAATTGCTGTGTGGATACTACTTTCTATGTTGCTTACCTTTTTAAATTAAGTTATGGCTGGCACGTTGGTTCACACCTATAATCCCAGCACTTTTGGGGGCTGAATTAGGTGGACCACTTGAGGCCAGGAGTTCAAGACCAGCCTGGCCAACACAGCAAAACTCCCTCTCTACTAAGAATACAAAAATTAACCAGGCATCGTGGTGCATACCTGTAATCCCACCCCTAGCTACTTGGAATGCTAAGGCAGGAGAATCACTTGAACCCAGGGGGCGGAGGTTGCAGTGAGCCGAGATTACGGCACTACACTCCTGCCTGGGTGACAGAGTGAGACTCTGTCTCAAAAAAATAGAAATAAAAATAAAATAACTTATTGTATTGAGAAGACCTTTAAAATTACTTCTAACTGGTAAAACCTTTGGAAGAGTTGTTACTATTACTTTAAAAAAATTTATCAGTTTCTAAGCCCCTGAGCAAGACCTGATAAATACAATTAGAAGAAATGTGTGGGCTGGTTCAGCCTCTGCTTGGGAAACATACCCTGCGTAGGGACTGAGGGGAAAGAATTATTGGGTGGAATTTCATTTCTGTAGTGCAGTGGGTTAGTGAAGCTCTGTGGAGGGGTTTTTAAAGTCCGTTGATTGTATGTGACTCGCCACATATGCACATGTAATAAAGAGGTTTCATTAGATGCTGTATTGGGCCATTCTTGCATTGCAATAAAGAAATATCTAAGAATGGGTAATTTATAAAGAGAAGAGGTTTAATTGGTTCGTGGATCTGCAGGCTGTACAGGAAGCATGGCACCGGCATGCTTCTGGTGAGGGCCTCCGGAAGCTTATAGTCATAGCACAAGGTGAGGTATGAACAGGCACATCACACAACCAAAGCAGAAGTGGGTGTGTGGGGGTGCCACACACTTTTAAACAACCGTATCAAGGGAGCTCATTTACTGTCTCAAGGAGAGCACCAAGGGGATGGCACTAAACCATTCGTGAGAAATCCACCCCCGTGAGCCAACTACCACGCCCCACCTGCAACACTGGGGATTAATTTAACATGAAATTTAGAGGCCGGGCCCGGTGGCTCACACCTGTAATCCCGGCAACTTGGGAGGCTGAGGTGGGCAGATCACTTGAGGTCAGGAGTTCGAGACCAGCCTGGCAACATGGTGAAACCCTGTCTCTACTAAAAATACAAAAAACATTAGCTGGGCGTGTTGGCGGGCGCCTGTAGTCCCAGGTACTCAGGGAGGTTGAGGCAGGAGAATCTCTTGAACCCGGAAGGTGGAGGTTGCAGTGAGCCAAGATCATGCCACTGCACTCCAACCTGGGTGACAGAGGGAGACTCCGTCTCAAAAAAAAAAAGATAAAATTAAAAAAAAATATATATATATCAACGAAATTTAGAGGGGACACATGTCTAAACTGTGTCAGATGCTAAGCCGTAATAGATTGAAGTTTCATACCGATCACAAGATCAAATTCTGGTATGTGTCACAAAATACAAGCTTTGAGGCCCTCTGGTTTATGGAGAACGGGGGAGTTGCTGAAAGAATTAATGATGAACTTATTTATGACCGTAGTTAGCGTTTTAGTTGTAACAAGTTATAATAAATGTACACTATGCTTTCTATGTAATCTATTTAAGTGAAATAGAGTATATCAAATCAAGGACCCTGTAGGGGAAAAGAAGAAAAGAGAACAGCAAGTTAAAATGGATTTGGGCAGGAAAGCAGAGGCCCGTGAAGAAACCACTTTCCGTTTATGACTAATTCTCTCATGACCCCCAGGCCTGCCAGTTTTTTCAGGGTTGCTAAAGGCAGAATGGGTCTGGTAACTACTTAGTAGTTTTCATGTTGAAAGACCGTATTTATCTGCTTTTAGGCCTCTAACTGAAATGGATGGCACATAGATTACACAGGGTCAAAAGTCATGTGAAACTAACCCCTGAAGCCTTTGCAGAATATTTCTTTGTTTCTACTTTTGTTCTGTTTTTGGAAAGTATATGTGAGAAAGTAGTTTCTGTTTGCTTTTGAATATGGCATCATTAATTTTCTGTATACCTACCAAAATTATTATTAGCTTGTGTGGCTGGTTCAGTTTTACTAAGTTGATTAATAATGTTTTTTCTAGACAAACAGCAGTCGATGAACAGGGAAAGGATCTACTGAAAGATCCACCTGTATGTAGAAAGAAAGATTTCCTCAAGGGTTTCCAATTTGATAAGTTAGCCAATATAAAGTATGAAATGGGAAGTTCAGATTTTTCACTTAAATTACTTGGCAGAATTGTGTAGTATACAACAGACTTTTTTCTGTGGTACTTAATTTTCTTAAACATAGACATCTTGGGGTAAAACACCTGAAAGGTTCCAGAGACCCGGAATAATCTAGATTTTTTATCTTGTGTAGGTTGGACACAGTAAACTTTACTGGTTTTTCTCACTAAATATTACTAGCATTTTTTTTTCCAGTAACTTTTTCTGAACATTTCATATGTAAACTACTTTATAATTTTTGGACAGAACAAGGAAAAGCTTGTTTAAAAATCTTTGTATTACAAGCAGTTTTTTTTTTTTTGAGACAGAGTCTGCCTAAGCTGGAGTGCAGTGGCGCTATCTTGGCTCACTGCAACTTCCACCTCCTGGGTTCAAGCAATTCTCCCTCCTTAGCCTCCCAAGTAGCGGGGATTACAGGAACCCGCCACCATGCCCAGCTAATTTTTGGTTTTTTGTTGTTTTTGTTTTTGTAGAAACAGGGTTTCACCATGTTGGCCAGGCCTAGTCTCGAACTCCTGGCCTCAAGTGATTCGCCCTCCTCGGCCTCCCAAAGTGCTGGGATTACAGGTGTGAGTCACCATGCCCGGCCCCAAGTAGTTTGATGCACAATTGAAAATTCTAATCTTACAACTGTGGATAATGGTGCTGTGTCTCCTGTATGACTCATGATGGCATGGTTGAATGACCTGTTGTACACCATGAAGGTACCTTTTTGCTTAAAGACTATTGGTCCTAGTTTGGTCTTCAGCTGTCAAATGTGTGCCTCCTGATGTCGAGTTATATTTTACCTCTCCTCCCTCCCCTCTCCCCTGCCTCCCTCTCTCTCACAAATCCCTAGGTAGTGTCACCTGCCTCTGGTGGGACCCTATTCAGCGGTTACTCTTCTCAGGAGCATCTGACAACAGCATCATCATGTGGGACATCGGAGGAAGAAAAGGCCGGACGCTCTTACTTCAGGGCCATCAGTGCGTGACCACTTGTGGGGGTGGGGAAAGAATCCGAGTTAGTGGGGAGCTAGTGAAAGGCATTAGTAGTCTGATAACACTTTCTGCAAACCCCGCCTTCTAAGATGGCAATTATCACTGATAGCGCTCAGTTCACTTATAACTGCTTTCTGTCAGCCCCAAGTGTCTGATGTTTAGTAGCAAAACAACAATAACAAAAAACGAGTACAGGGCTTTCTTCCTTCTTAGTCCAAAGAGCACTTGCCACTTTCTCTCTTAAGGAGTCACCCCGTTGAAATATCTGATTAAGGCAGGCATAGAACAGAGATGCAGTTGAGGACTTTGACCATGGAAGGTTGCATGTAACGTGATACTAAGCTGTTCTTGAGCTGGGAGCCTAACTCGTTTTTCGTTTTTGGTTTTTTTATTCTAAAGATATTGAATTGCGAAATAATGTCTAGTTTGACAATGGAATTCACCTGAGTAATACCGTTGTGTATTTAGGATCTTGCCCTCTATCCCTGAAAGAAAAAGAAATACCTCTTCACCCCGCTTTCCTTTCTTTTCTTTTTGGCTAGACTGCAGCTGTTACTGTAATCACAGTCAAGCTGAAAATTAGCTGAGGAAACATATTGTACACTATAACAGGCCAAGAGCTTGTTTCCTTGGGCATCCTAAAGAGTAGTATGACAGGCATGCAGGAGGGACAGAGATCTTCACCCCATCTGTGTGTGTGTCTGTGCATACTAGCGATCTTTGTGGTGTTGGACTCCTTGTTCATATGAATTATGTTCAGTAAGGGACTTATACCTCCTTTGTTCTTTTTTGTTTCTGAACAGATAGATAAATCTTATGCATCTGAAAGGGAAATCATGGTGATTGGTCCCGAAAACCATAGCCCTCATCAAATCTCTGGCCTACAATTCTTAATGACTGATTTGAAAGTAGTCGTATATTTTATAGAAAGTATCATTCTGTATTATGAGTTATAAAATGCCAAGTAAAGTTTATACTAGAATTCGTTTTACCATGCTGGATAGTCAGTGGTAAAATACCACTTGCTGGTTTTAATGAGGAGAACGATTTGAGCCTAAATGAGATAGTTCCCGTGTTTTTCCACATGGAGACAAATGACTATTGTGTGTGCTGTTTGCAGTGACAAGGTGCAGTCGCTGTGCTACCTTCAGCTCACCAGGCAGCTCGTCTCCTGTTCCTCGGATGGCGGAATTGCAGTGTGGAACATGGATGTTAGCAGAGAAGAGGTAAGAGACAAGGGCAAGTCCAGGCCGAACGGGAGAGACCGCCAAGAACCTGGCTTCTTGGCTTTTCACCCAGTGAGCTGTAAATGCTGCCAGTCCAGGTGCAGACAGTCCTAACTTCCCCTTCTGCTAATGGGTTATTTCTGACAAGGTCCTTTGTGTCATTGTGCACTGCTTCCTTCCTCTACTCATCTGAGAGTTTCTACCAGTGACATGCAGTATATACAATCAGCATTTAGGCTGGTTCTCAGCCTTGAGCAATACACTGAGAGAACACTTTGAGACAGATTTCTGGCATATCCAGGGATATGGACTCCACAGAGGTCCTCCGAAGCACCATTGTGGTCCCATAGCATTCCTGTAGGAAACCCTGCGGTATGCATCAGTGACTGCTGTCAGGGACGTAGCTAAACACTTGACATGTTTCTAGGAAAATATGTTTCCATTGCTCTGCTCTTACTTCCCATTGAGTTCTAGTTCACTGAGGCCATGTCGACATAGTATTCTTTTCAGGTGGCCTAATTTCTAACTTGGTTGGACCACTAACTAGTTGTGAGACCTTGCTTGGTTAAGTGCCTTAATTTCTCTAAGTATCTGTTCCCTTCTACATGAAGTGGAATTGTGGAATCAAATGACTTCTCAGTTGTCTTCCAGTTCTTTAGACAGACAGTCTAATTGTCTAAACAATATCTCTCTCTCTCTCTTTTTTTTTTTTGAGACAGGGTCTTGCTTTGTCACCCAGGCTGAAGTGCAGTGGCATGATCTTGGCTCTCTGCAGCCTCAACCTCCCAGGCTTAAGCGATCCTCCCACTTCAGCTTCCTGAGTAGCTGGGGCTACAGGCATACGCTACCATGCATAACTTGTTTTTCAGTTTTTTTTTTTTTTTTTTTTTTTTTTGGTGGTGACAGGGTCTTGCTGTGTCATCTAGGCTGGTCTCAAACTCCTGGGCTCAAGCGACCTTCCTGCCTCAGTCTCCCAAATTGCTGGGATTATAGGCATGAGCCACTGTGTATATCCTCTTTTTAAAATATTTTGAAGAATGCTGCAGTGAATACACTTGACCTTGTCATTGTGTGATTGATCAATTATTTATTTCAGAAAAATTTCTGGAAATAGACCTTCTGAGTCCAAGCATATATACATTCGTAAGGCTTTTTATAAATGTTGTCAAATGATTTCCAATCAAGGTTTCCATTCTCGTCTCTGCCTGCACTGGCATTATCTTTCTTTTCTAAGTGGCATCTGCAACTTATGATGTTGTTAGCAAAAAAAGTTGATTCCAGAGAAGATTTTAGACCATAAGGGACGTTAATGACTTACAGTTTAACTTTGAAAATATTTGTTGGGCACCTATAGGGTGTCCGTACAGTCGGGAAACATAAGTGAATTTATATAATAAATGGTTTATTGATATTGCATTGCAATACGTACTATGTTGTACGACATAACATGATCTGCTCAGGATCCTGTCCTTTATGGCAACATGTTGTTCAGTGTGCTGTGCACCATTATAACAGACATTTTGCGTTGATGCAGAATTCCCACCAATCCCTGCACATGTGTCTGCTTTGTGTTGTCTCTGATTCTTTGTGAGTCTGATTCTCACTGATTAAACCTTCATTTTTACCATATTCCAGTAGAAGTAATGAAGGGGGCTTTCGTCTATTTTTTTTAAATGGTGACATTAGTCATTTACAGACTTTATGGCTACCGTACACAAAGATACTTGCCACAAGAAATTTGTAATCTAGTGGAAGAAATAGACTACCCTATAAATAATAAAATGCAATCCATAATCCGGAGACGTACTGATTGTGAGACTTTCTTTGTAACTTTGTAAGACAAGTCAAATAGAGTAAATTTGGATTACAAATTTCTGGTTTATATCTCTTTTTGAATTTTCTAAAAAATATTTGGTAAGGCTTAGAATATTTTATTATGAAATGCAGATACATTGGCTCAATAGTATAGGATGTGGCTGGCACAGTGGCTCATGCTGTAATCCCAGCGCTTTGGGAGGCTGAGGCAGCTGGATCACCTGAGGGTCAGGAGTTTGAGACCAGCCTGGCCAACATGGTGAAACCCAGTCTCTACTAAAACATATAAAAATTAGCCAGGCTTGGTGGTGGGTACCTATAATCCCAGCTACTTGGGAGGCTGAGGCAGGAGAATCACTTGAACCCAGGAGGCGGAGGTTGCAGTGAGCCAAGATCATACCACTGCGCTCCAGCCTGGGTGATGAGCAAAACTCTATATAAAAAATGTATGTGTGTGTGTGTGTGTGTATAAAATAGGATGTATAATACTGTATTTTCAAAGATTTATTTGGACTGTGTTTTATGTTTATCAGCTACTAGTTATATGCACCAAGAACAGCTAGTATACTGTTGTGTTTCCTGGCTCTTGGCCTATTGTTTTTCAGTCTTATTCTGAGAGAGCAGAAAACTCAGAGAGAGAGAGAGGCTGTATTCCCTGGATGATGAGGGGAGGAGACCATTGGTGCCCAGCACTGCTGGTGGCTTTCCCGAGGGTTTCACAACTTAGATTTTTAACCTGCTGTTTTTATCATTGGTAAATTCTTTTAGAAAAAGTATTTAGAAAGTAGAGGTGGGATTCCTGCCTTCGAAGTGCATCATTGTGGAGTGTATTTCTATATCTAGGGAAAGAAAAAATAGTCCCATCAATCAAGGCGTTTCCTGTGTGCACAATTCACTGCATCTGTAGAAGAGACAGGAAGGCAAGTTGTGTCAAAAAGATGCATTATTTTTAGTAGATTTTTTTGTTTGTTTTTTAATAACTGAGAAAATGTATTGCAAGGATAAACAGGCTGTAATCTATAAAGTTCTGACCTGGCCTTAGGGTTTTTTGGGCTTTTTTTTTTTTTTTTTTTGAGGCAGGGTCTAGCCCTGTCACCCAGGCTGGAGTGCAGTGGCAAGACCTCAGTTCACTGCAACGTTCGCATCCTAGTTTCAAGTGATTCTCCCACCTCAGCCTCCCAGGTATCTGGGACAACAGGCTCATGCCACCATACTGGTACCTGGCTAATATTTTGTATTTTTAGTAGAGAGGGAGTTTCACCATGTTGACCAGGCTGGTTACGAGCCCCTGGCCTCAAGTGATCCGCCCGCCTCAGCCTCCCAAAGTGCTGGGATTACAGGCGTGAGCCACGGTGCCCAGCCTTTAGGGTTTTATAGGACTTTCTTAGACTAGGGCATAGAGGATTGGTCCCAGATCCTCTAGCTCTGCAATGCTTGCCTGGCATTTCTCTCCAAGTCCCCTGTCAGTACTAACTGGAGCATTTACTACCCACTGTGGCTTCAGCCACTATGCTGTCGAGTTGGAAGCAGATTTGCCTCCCTGCCAGATCATAATAAGGGATCATTTTTTGGAAGTAGGCACAAAATATATATGAGCAAGAAACAATAATTAGAGAGAATGAATCTTCTTGAAAAGATAACTTTATTTTAAAATTAATAGATTACAGAATGTATAGCATTTTATATACTAGTGCAATGTGACGAGTACAGCAATTAGTGGTAGTAGAACAATGGAATTTATTCCTGTCATATCTTTGTTCAGATTTGGCAGGTGGAAAAAGATGTGGAAAAGAGAGTGATGCAATTATAATACCTAATTAATACTCTCTCTTGCTCTTCTCAGCACAAAATGAAAGCTTCTCCTTAGATGATAAGTATATATTAGGATGGCTCATGTTAGCTTATAGTGTAACGCTATATTCTGAGTATTAAACGAAATAAAGTTAGGGTATCTCTTATATTAAGATGTTCTTAAAAGCTATTTGTTTCTGATTTTGATTTTAGTTTGTTTTCTTAAATTATTTTAAGCATATATTTTCGTCACTGCAACCTCTGCCTCCTGGGCTCAAGCAATTCTCGTGCCTCAACCACCCAAGTAGCTGGGACTACAGACATGTGCCACCATGCCTGGCTAATTTCTGCATTTTTAGTAGACGTGAGGTTTCATCATGTTGGCCAGGCTGGTCTCGAACTCCTGGCCTCAAGTGGTCCACCTGCCTCAGCCTCCCAAAGTGCTGGGATTGCAGATGTGAGCAGCTGTGCCCAGTCAAAGTTACATTCTTTCTTAAACCCTTAAACAGAATCATGCTTCTTGAGGCAAGAGCTCAGATGTGTAGGTTGCCATAGCCCAGGACCATGTTTGGAGACCCCCACATGTAGAAGTGGATAGGCCTCGTATGCAGAGACTATGTGGAGCATAGGGATACACCCAGAGATGCATGCTGGACTCCTGGATCTCCCCAGGATCTGCGTCTACTCACTGACAGTTGCTTTAATCTCTGAGCCAGTTTCATTGCCTGTAAAATAGGGATCATGTTGCTCTGTATCTCCTAGGACATATGAACATTAAGTAAAATAAAAAAACATGAAACACTTGGCACATTGCCTGGACTTAGATGTCACTTACTGTATGCCAGGTAGTATTCTGAACACATAATATTAACTCACTTAATCCTCACAACCTTATGAGGTATATACTACTGTTATCCCACTTTACAGATGTATTAGTCTGTTCTCATGCTGCTAATAAAGATATACCTTATACTGGATAATTTATAAAGGAAGGAGATTTAATGAACTCACAATTCCACATGGCTGGGGAGGCCTCACATTCATGGTGGAAGATGAAGGAGGAGCAAAGTCATGTCTTACATGGTAGGCAAAAGGGCATGTGCAGGGGAACTCCCCTTTATAAAACCATCAGATATTGTGGGACTTATTCACTACCAGGAGAATAGCATGGAAAAAACCCACCCCCATGATTCAATTACATCCTACTGGGTCCTCCCATGACACGTGGGGATTATTACAATTCTAAGTGAGATTTGGGTGGGGACACAGAGCCAGACCATAACAGTGGATGAGGAAACCTAGGCACAGAGAAGTTGAGTCACGTGCCTGAGAACAGTGCTGACAAGTGGCAGAACCAGGATTTAAAGGCAAGAGACCTGACTCCTAGACTTGGTGATTATAGCTATGACTATTAGAAATGAATTGAGAGGCCAGGCACAGTGATTCATGCCTGTAATTCCAGCATTTTGGGAGACTGAGACAGGTGAATCCCCTGAGGTCAGGAGTTCGAGACCAGCCTGGCCAACATGGTGAAATCCCAACTCTACTAAAAATACAAAAAAATAGCCAGGCATGGTGACAGGCATCTGTAATCCCAGCTACTTGGGAGGCTGAGGCAGGAGAAACACTTGAACCCGGGAGGCAGAGGTTGCAGTGAGCCGAGATCATGCCATTGCACTCCAGCCTGGGTGACAGAGCAAGACTCCATCTCAAATAAATAAATAAATAAATAAATAAATAAATAAATAAAATTGAGAATTTAGGTCGGGCATGGTGGCTCATGCCTGTAATCCCAGCACTTTGGGAAGCCAAGGCAGGCAGATGAGTTGAGGTCAGGAGTTCGAGACCAGCCTGACCAACATGGTGAAACCCCCATCTCTACTAAAAATACAAAAAATAGCTGGGTGTGGTGGTGGGCGCCTGTAATCCCAGCTACTTGGGAGACTGAGGCAGGAGAATTGCTTGAACCTGGGGGGCGGAGGTTACAGTGAACCAAGATCACGCCAATGCACTCCAGCCTGGGCAACAAAATGAGACTCTGTCTCAAAAAAAAAAAAAAAAAAATTGATAATTTAAAAATGGCTTATCTGTATATATTTTAAAAATCCTTGCTTGAAATTGAATCACTTGAAAACATTAAAATGTTAGGAAATCCATTGATGTACTGCTTAACAGACATTGCTGGAGATAGAAGCCTTTTGTGTTAAAGGAGTGCTCTGGGTGATTGAAACATAATTCACATGCCAGCCCCTTATGAAGACAATCACTTTGATGAAAATGTACAGCTGGGCACAGTGGCTCATGCCTGTAATCCCAGCACTTTGGGAAGCTGAGGCAGGCAGATCACTTGAGCCCAGGAGTTCAAGACCAGCCTGAGCAGCTTGGAGAAACCCTGTTTGTACAAAAAATTTGCTGGGTGTGGTGGTGCATATCTCTAGTCCCAACTACCAGGGCAGCTGAGAGGAGAGAGGATCGCATGAGCCAGAGGTTGATGCTGCAGTGAGCCATGATTGTGCCCCTGCAGTCCAGCTTGGGTGACAAGGCGAGACCCTGTCTCAAAAAAAAAAGAAAGTGTAAATTTGATGTAATTTACTAATTTCTTGATGCAGGCTTACCATTCTGACCACAAATGTTGCATGCGTGTTTCATGATAACGCAATTTTGTATCTGTGTAGAAAACTATTTCATGTAGGACTGAGAACGTTTTTCCTGAAACTATCCTTGCCTTCAATTCTACCCACCTTAGTCCCTTTAATCTGTTATGTCCTAGGAAACAAATTTTAAAAATTTGTGGATCACACCAGGCCAATAATGTCATAAATGAGAGGCTAAGCGGGGAGAAGATGCAGACATTTCTTTCAGTGATTTTTCTTTTTTTAAACCAAATTTTAGCTCAAGAAAAATAGAAAATTTAATCCTCCCTGTGTTTTGGTTGAGAGCAGATTTCTGAATTCCAGATCAGTAAAGTTTGTTTTAAGATTTTTGTGTTAAGTAATACCTAACAGACACTGTGTGGTCAAGGGAAATAGAAAATCCAGCCATTAACTGGAGACAAAAGAAAGAAGTAAATTTCTAAAGCACTGAGCAATAATGGGCAAGTTTGCAAATCAGTTCTTTTTTACACTTAACATTTTTGTGCACTACATTAAACATCAAATTCCCTGCTGCTAAGTATGGGAAGTATAAACTGGAACGAACTTTCATCTATTGTTCTGTTTCCATTAAAGCCTTCATTGTCCTTAAAGCACATTAGCTCTTACTGGAGTTGTTTGGAGATGGCTTAGTGAATACATTTGTGTGCTGTTTTTTGGTCCACGTGACTGCGGTTTTGCGAGAGTTATACTTGGGCATGTCCCAGACATAAGATTAGGAAGTTATACTTACTTTCCTTCTTCCAGCAATTAAATATCCTGTGCCCCTGGCAGCACAGCCTGCTGCATCTCTCTTAGGGCCAGTGTCCCCAGGTAGTATCCCCACACAGCCGCAGCCTCCATCACCACCTGCCTTCTAGTGATGACAGAAACAAAGAAGTAATTCTATATCAATAAAATAATTTTTCTCACATAGATACACATCTCTTTATTCTTCTTTCATCCCTTCTCACCTCCAACATTCCCCAGTTATTTAAGGAAACCTTTCTTCTATCTCAGCCTGTTTCAGTCTACTTGTGAGTGCCTTCTGCACACCCCCCACCCCCCCAAAAAAAGACCTTTCTAATGTCTGTTATATGTAGAAATATTTCTAGTGACAGATCCAGAATAAGAAATAGGAAGGCCAAAAGTTTTGATGCAATAGGAGACAAAATGAAGAACTAGGGGCACCCATCATTCAAACCACCAAATATATTAATATATATTTTAGAAAAAAATGTTTTCTGTCTATTTTTGTGGCACCTATATAATGTTAAGTGATTGGGGTTAAACAGGCTTTTTTTTTTTTTTGAGACGAAGTTTCGCTCTTGTCGCCGAGGCTGGAGTGCAGTGGTGCAATCTCTGCTCACTGCAACCTCCACCTCCCGGTTTCAAGCCATTTTCCCACCTCAGCCTCCTAAGTAGCTGGGATTATAGGCATGTGCCACCATGCCTGGCTAATTTTGTATTTTTAGTAGAGATGGAGTTTCACCATGTTGGCCAAGCTGGTCTTGAACTCCTGACCTCAGGTAATCTGCCTGCCTTGGCCTCCCAAAGTGCTGGGATTACAGGTGTTAGCCACTGCGCCTGGCCTAAACAGGCTTTTAACAGGTTTGTCTTAGAATTGGGTATAGTTTGTAATTTTTTGTTTAAAGAAATATTTTTAAGTTTTTGTTTTGTTTTGTTTTGTTTTGTTTTTTGAGACTGAGTCTTGCTCTTGTTGCCCAGACTAGGGTGCAATGGTACGATCTTGGCTTGCTACAACCTATGCCTCCTGGGTTCAAGTGATTCTTCTGCCTCAGCCTCCCAAGTAGCTGGGATTACAGGTGTGCGCCACCACGTCTGGCTAATTTTTGTATTTTTAGTAGAGACGGGGTTTCACCATGTTGGCCAGGCTTGAGCTCCCGACCTCAGGTGATCCGCCTACCTCGGCCTCCCAAAGTGCTGAGATTACAGGCGTGAGCCACCACACTTGGCCTATTTTTTAAGTTTTTTAACAAATTAATTTTGAGACTGCTTCTTCTGTTTCAACAAAAAAGCATTAAGAACCTACTGTGTGACAGGCTGTGGATAGATCAAGATGAATAATACCAAAAAGTAACTCACTGGTTAGAGGGGAGAAGAAACGTGCACCAAGATCTACAAAACCAGAGCTTGCTGCCCAGTGAAGGCTGCAGGACTCCTGTGTGGCCCCAGGAGGGAGGGACCTGCTGCTGTGGCTGGGAAGGGAAGGGTGGCAAATCTGCCTGCATAGTCCCTACCCAGAGCAACTAGGTGATGGGATTTTGTCGGATCTCTTCTGTTAGTCACCTGTGACCCTGCAAGCCTTTCCCGGTGGTAGGTCACCAGATTCTGCTGCATGCATTGGGTTTTTACTCAACTGGATTTAGAGTTCAAATATTTCCAGCATAAAAAAGAAATACATAAAGACAACGCTTAAGGGTTCACAATAAAAACTGATTTACTCCCTCCTATCTATAGATTACAAATTGAACAACCCTGTAACTGTGGCTAAAATTGTCATGATTACTTAACATACAATTAAGGCTGGGCACAATGGCTCATGACTGTAATCCCAGTGCTTTGTGGGGCTGAGACAGAAGGATTACTTGAAGCCAGGAGTTCAAAATGAGCCTGGGAAACATAGTGAGACCCTGTCTCTACAAAAAAAATAAAAATAAAAAATTAGCTGGCATGGTGACACACACCTGTGGTCCTAGCTATTCAGGAGGCTGAGGCAGGAGGATCATTTGAGCCTGAGAGGTCAAGGTTGCAGTGAGCCATGTTCACGACACTGCACTCCAGCCTGGGTGACAGAGTGAGACCCTGTCTCAAAAAAGACCCTCCCGCACACACACAATTAAACATAATATTGAATAATTAAACATAATATTGAATATGACAACTAGCTAGAATATTTTGTGGAATTAAAAAGAAATACTAACTGGCTGGGCATAGCTGCTCACGGTTATAATCCCAGCACTTTGGGAGGTCAGGAGTTTGAGACCAGCCTGGCCAACATGGCAAAACCCCAAGTCTACTAAAAATACAGAAATTAGCCTGGCGTGGTAGTGCATGCCTGTAGTCCCAGCCACTTGGGAGACTGAGGCAGTAGAGTCACTTGAACCCAGGAGGCGGAGGTTGCAGTGAACCGAGATCACATACTGCACTCCAGCCTGGGCGACAAAAAAAAAAGAAGAAAAGAAAGACTAACCCCGTCAAGGTCTAGAACTGTCGTATTAATTTTGAAACGCGGAAGTAAACGTAGACACACTGATGTTGGCTTTGACTTTCTGCTCCCCCAGGCTCCTCAGTGGTTGGAAAGTGATTCTTGTCAGAAATGTGAGCAGCCCTTTTTCTGGAACATAAAGCAGATGTGGGACACCAAGACGCTGGGGCTGAGACAAGTGAGTAGCCACTGTTGAGTCATCGCTGGCTTGATTGTGTATTTCACTATTTGCATACTTAATCTGGGGCTGTTTTGAATCACACTTTGTTTTTGCAAATGCTATTAACTCCTACATTTTCTGTGTCTTTATCATTGTGTGACTAATAATGAGGAAGACCTTTCCCGGGGCCAGTGAGACTGTTACCTCACTGTTCGGTTGCTCGTCCTGTGTTGGAAAGGCAGGGGTGCGTAGAAAACCCTGAGAGCCTATTTTTAAATAGATAAAAGATCTTTCAGTTTAATACTGTTACTTATTAAAGTCAGTGTTTTTGCTAGCCAAGAACGAAGTTGGAATAAATTAGGTCATACAGTTATATATACCTTATGTTGTCACAAACAGATTAAAAAGTAATAATTTAGTCCTCACTTGAACGCCTGACCCTATGAATTTTAGATTATTTTAAATTGTTCCCTTTTAAGCATACCTGGAACGTTTCTATTAAGCATGTTTTGAGTACTGTTTTTAAAATTTTTTAAATTAAAGAAATATGTTCCAAATAGCCTGTAGATTTCAAAGGTGCTGTTAACTTCAAGGATTCTTGTAATACTAAAGTTCTACAAAAAAACAAAAAACAAAAAACAAACCCATTTCCACAGCAGCCTGGAAGGTAACCACTCAGGGTAAACATGAATTTGTGCAGGTAAGTAAAAAAGATGCTAATTTTATTCCTTTTATTATTGGTTTCACCTCTATGAGAGATTAGCCTAAAGTTTGTATGTGTTAATAAACTTTTTTGGCCCTGATTGGTGGCTCATGCCTGTAGTCCCTGCACTTCGGGAGGCCGAGGTGGGTGGATCAGCCGAGGTCAGGAGTTTGAGACCAGCCTGGCCAACATGGCGAAACCTTGTCTGTACTAAAAATACAAAAATTAGCTGGGTGTGGTGGCGGACGCCTGTAATCCCAGCTACTCGGGGGGCTGAGGCAGGAGAATCACTTGAACCTGGGAGGCGGAGGTTGCGGTGAGCCGAGATCGCGCCACTGTACTCCAGCCTAAGTGACAGAGTGAGACTCCATCTCAAAAAAATAAATTAATAAATAAACTCTGAAAAGTTTTACAGAGCTACTCCACAGTAAGGTCTCATATGAGACTGGCAGGCAAGAAGGGGATTATTTTAGTGCTCAGACCATTATAAAGCTCTGAAATAGCACCTGAGTTCTGTCTGTCATTAGCCAAGTTCTCACAATGCAAGGCTGATGGTAATTAGTGCAGTATAATTAATAGAAGTATTCCCTACTTCTAAAGGAAGCACAGAGAAATGGATTTTACTCCCATTTATTAACAGTTAAGAGAGAAGAGGTGCTGGTCACTAAACTGTTGGTGGTAAAAGAATATGTCAAAATCAGTAATAATAATTGGACTGTTTTGTAATGTTCTTGAGGCTTATTTCCAGAATCACAGTTTGAGAGATTTTAAAATATAGCAAAACATGATTATGGGCATTAGTTTCTTAATGAGAGCATAGTGCATTTAAAACTTATTTTAGGCCCGGTGTGATGGCTTACGCCTGTAATCCCAGCACTTTGGGAGGCCAATGTGGAAGGGTGGCTTAAGCCCAGGAGTTTGAGACCAGCCTGAGCAACATGGTGAGACCCTGTCTCTATAAAAATAAATAAAACTTATTTAAAATAATAATGCCTTTTTTATGATGGAGGAATAAATTTTTCTTTCCCCAATCTACAGTGATTAGGTTCCTAAATGAACTAAATTTGGTGTTAATAGTATTGTTTGTTAACATGTAGACAGATAATATGAATGAATGAAAAGCAACATTTGACCAGTGCAGCAAGGTTTTTTGGAAATCCTTGACTAGTGTCAAAATCGTCTATTTTGTGAGCGTTAATTGATACATTGAATTGGGGTGATTACAATTCAAGGCATATCCTCCCCACTCCTGTTCCCTTACTCTAGAGGGAAACCATGTGCTTTAAAGCAAAAGCTAGGTCGGGCGCTGTGGCTCACGCCTGTAATCCCAACACTTTGGGAGGCTGAGGTGGGTGGATCATGAGGTCAGGAGTTCGAGACCAGCCTGACCAAGATGGTGAAACCCCATCTCTACTAAAAATACAAAAATTAGCTGGGCGTGGTGGCAGGTACCTGTAGTCCCAATTGCCCAGGAGGCTGAGGCAGGAAAATCGCTTGAACCCGGGCGCCAAAGGTTGCAGTGAGCCGAGATCATGTCACTGCACTCCAACCTAGGCAACAGAGTGAGACTCCATCTCAAAACAAAACAAAAAACAAAAAGGCAGAAGCTAACACCCTGTTTTCCTCCTCCCGGTCACCCGTGAAGCATCACTGCAGGAAATGCGGGCAGGCTGTCTGCGGGAAGTGCAGCAGCAAGCGCTCAACTTACCCAGTCATGGGCTTCGAGTTCCAAGTCCGGGTGTGTGATTCTTGTTACGACTCCATCAAAGACGAAGAGTGAGTGTTTGCATATTTTTGTCTCATTGCCTCTTACTACATCTGTCTAATGGTTCTCTGAAATGTGAAGAGCTTCAGAAGTGATACGGATATGTTTAGCCATGTGTTTGTTTCTCCTGAATTTCCTAAGCCATTTTATTTGTTGTTTGTTTGTTTTTTGAGACAGAATCTTGCTCTGTCACCCATGCTGGAGTGCAGTGGCGTGATCTTGGCCCACTGCAACCTCCGCCTCCCGGGTTCAATCGATTCTCCTGCCTCAGCCACCCGAGTAGCTGGGATTACAGGCGCCCCCCCACCCCCTGGCTAATTTTTGTATTTTTAGTAGAGATGGGGTTTCACCATGTTGGTGAGGCTGGTCTCGAACTCCTGACCTCAAGTGATCTGCCCACCTTGGCCTCCCAAAGTGCTGGGATTACAGGCATGAGCCACCGCGCCTGGCCCGTAAGCCATTTTTGAAGAAAGGACCTGCCCTAGCTTTATGACTTAAGACACCGCTGTGTATCTGAAGCTGCCCCTCTGACTGGGCAGCTTTCTCCTGAACATGGTGAGGAATGCTGAGTTACATGGTCCAGTAACTGAGTGGACATCCTGAGCCTCCACATCCCACCGACTGCCATGCAGGGATAAGTCCATGCACCTGTGGATGGCAGTGGTTGAGCTGGTTCTCTATAGAAGCATCTAGTGCCTAGACCTTTGTTCACACATGCATGTAAATTTACTGGGAAAACTCTAGAGACCAATGTTCTTTCTTTCACAAAAATCTGGCCTAGCAGTCTATTTTTAAATTGCTCTTTGTGTGTAAGACACATCTGTTTGTTTACTCCACTCTGCACTGATTTTTAGGCAAATCTATTAGGACAGAACCACCATTTTCTTTCCTTCCCTTTGAATCATCTTTTAAAGCAGCAGAGGCAAATGTTGGCAGAGGTCCACATTGGAAAGCTAGTGCATCACGACTGGTGTTGGTAAATGAACTAGTGATGGGATTGGAGCAGCTGGGCTTTGGGGCAGAGTTGAAGCCGGTGCTGTAAGAGGCACTGCTCCTGTGCATGGCAGAGGTTTCAGAGAAAACTGCAGCTCTCTGATGAATGTTTTGCCCATGCTCTATGATTTTATCCAATGCAGTTCTTCTTTTATATTGAAGATTCTTGTTTTTATATCTAGGAATGTATCAGCCTTTCCAGTTTAAAAAAAACAAGAACAAAAAAAAAAAAAAACGGTTATTTTGGGAGTTTTATAAAACAGTCTTGTGATTTATCATGCTTTCTGTCATCATTAAATTATAAGGTTAGTTTTCAAAACCATAGCCACAATTTTAGGAGCAAATTTTCACACTATAATAAGCATTTGCTTTTTTATTTTGGAGACTGAGTCTTGCTTAACTGGGCTGGAGTGCAGTGGCATAATCTCGGCTCACTGCAGCCTCCACCTCCAGGTTCAAGCGATTCTCCTTGCCTCAGCCTCCTGAATAGCTGGGATCACAGGTGTGTGCCACCACACGGAGCTAATTTTTATATTTTTAGTAGAGACGGGGTTTCACCATGTTGACCAGGCTGGTCTTGAACCCCTGACCTCAAGTGATCCACCCGCCTCGGCCTCCCAAAGTGCTGAGGGTACAGGCATGAGCCACGGCACCTGGCCATATTTGCTTATTTTATGTTGCTAAAAAGGCTTACCCCATTAGCTCTAGGTACAGTCAAGAACATTTTCAGTGATCTCTTTTCTCTTGTTAGTCGGACTTCTCTAGCGACCTTTCATGAAGGAAAACATAACATTTCCCACATGTCCATGGACGTTGCCAGGGGACTGATGGTGACCTGTGGGACCGACCGCATTGTAAAGGTAAGCTGGCTAATTGTCTGTCAGCATCTCAGTTGAGATTGCCCATTATCATGCTGTGAATGTCCAGGAGACAGTCACTCTTTCTGATTGGCAAGCTTTATAAGCAACTGATTGCCAGTTTAAAACCTTGAGTGATAAATTGCTTGCCTGCGAGTTTCCATGCACTCAGTGGTGGTCAATCCCAGTGGCACCTCCCTCTGCAGTGTCTGTCTGGCGGAGTGAGTCTGGCACCCTGTATATCCCCATGGGTGGAGCTCATCTCAGGGTTCTCCCTTGCTGACCTGGGCCTTCACCCCTGACCCATCTCAAGACATTCCTACCCTTGCCAATGTTCCTTTTCATCCTGGGCAGAATGCGTCCTCATTATAAGGAATAACCACACATTTTAAAAATTAAATCCCTGGGTCACTAACACATAAATTGAAATGAAGTGTTTTATACTTAATACCACTCTTTTATTTTTTTGAGATGGGTCTTGCTCTGTTGTCCAGGCTGGAGTGCAGTGGCACCATCACTACTCACTGCAGCCTTCACCTTCCAGGCTCACGCAGTCCTCCCACCTCAGCCTCCCAAAGTAGCTACAACTACAGGTGCCTGCCGCAGGCTTAGCTAATGTTGGGGGGATTTTTTGTGAAGATTGGGTCCTACTATGTTGCCCAGGCTGGTCTCAAACTCCTTGGCTCGAGTGATCCTGCCACCTCAGACTCCCAAAGTACTGGGATTGCAGGCATGATCCACAATGCCTGGCCTAAGTACCATTCTTCAGTGGTGAAACTGAGATATTTATATTCTTGATGGGCTTTGCTAAAAAAAAATTTGAATTTATATTAAAACATTATTATAATGTAATTTTTATGTGTAAAGACACTACCTATATGCTTTATTCACATTTTAGTGGACTACATTGTTTTATCTTTCTAAAAATCTTTTTGTTTGAGACACGGTCTCGCTCTGTCACCCAGGCTGTAGTGTAGGGGTGTGATCTCAGTTCAGTGAAACCTCTGCCTTCTGGGCTCAGGTGATCCTCCCACCTCAGCCTCCTGAGTGGCTGGGACCACAGGCATGTGCCACCACACCAGGCTAATTTCTGTAATTTTTTTTTGCTAGAGACAGGGTTTTGCCATGTTGGCCAGGCTGGCCTCGAACTCCTGGGCTCAAGCGCTACACCTGCCTCAGTCTCCCAAAACGCTGGGATTACAGGCATGAGCCACCGTGCCCAGCCACCTGGCCTCTTTCTATAAATCTTTTTTTTTTTTTTTAATACTTTAAGTTCTAGGGTACATGTGCACAACGTGCAGGTGTGTTACATATGTATACATGTGCCATGTTGGTGTGCTGCACCCATCAACTCGTCAGCACCCATCAACTCGTCATTTACATCAGTTATAACTCCCAATGCCTTCCCTTCCCCCTGCCCCCTCCCCATAATAGGCCCCGGTGTGTGATGTTCCCCTTCCCATGTTCAAGTGATCTTATTGTTCAATTCCCACCTATGAGTGAGAACATGTGGTGTTTGGTTTTCTGTTCTTGCAAAAGTTTGCTGAGAATGATGGTTTCCAGCTGCACCCATGTCCCTACAAAGGACACAAACTCATCCTTTTTTATGGCTGCATAGTATTCCATGGTGTATATGTGCCACATTTTCTTAATCCAGTCTGTCACTGATGGACATTTGGGTTGATTCCAAGTCTTTGCTATTGTGAATAGTGCCGCAATAAACATATGTGTGCTTGTGTCTTTATAGCAGCATGATTTATAATCCTTTGGGTATATACCCAGTAATGGGATGGCTGGGTCATATGGTATTTCTAGTTCTAGATCCTTGAGGAATCACCATACTGTTTTCCACAATGGTTGAACTAGTTTACAGTCCCACCAACAGTGTAAAAGTGTTCCTATTTCTCCACATCCTCTCCTCTTTCTATAAATCTTAAGGAGGTGTTATGAAAGAAGAGAATGAGAAAATTCGTTATTTTGACACCTTTTCGGGTTTTGTTTCTCTGTGTTGACTCTTGCCATTAGACCTGGTTATCACTGCTGCCTTTTCCGTGTTCCTTCCTTGTAGATCTGGGACATGACGCCTGTGGTGGGCTGCAGTCTGGCAACTGGGTTTTCTCCACACTGATCTGAGAGCTGGGCGACATCCACAGCTAAGAACAGCAGCTCCACCAAATGAAGTCCTTCCTGTGCAGCTCCACAATGCTGTCTTGTGAATGGACAGTAGCCACTTACAAACAAATCAACATTTTTAGAAAGCAAATGTAAAGGTGTGTTTTGGGGCATTTGTGGAACTTACCTATGGGGACTAATATGTGAAAGGTCTATCCGTAGTGGTTCCCTGAAGACTGGAATTATTTCAGTGAAACTTCCCCATGAACAGCGAGCTAATATGTAGTGAAAAAATGAGCTAGCAAATGAGTTTTAGCGGGGACAAAAAGTCAAAAAAGTGAACGCTTAGAACTTTCTCAAAGCAAGTCACAAGTACAGACACTTCACTTAGCCTAGGGGGCCTTCCAGGGTTCTTGTGGCTGTTGTCAAAACAGGAGCTGGGGGAAAACTTGTTCTCTCTTTCTTGAGGGGTGGCATTAGGAACTTACGAAACCAGAGACTTTTCCCTATGAGCTGGCAGTATGTGAATATCCTCTACACTTAGTTACTGATAAACTTCTTAAAGAGATCTGTTATTTTCAGGTAGTGCCATAATCTGCGCTTCGCATTGGCTTTTTTCAATAGTTTCTCTTCCCAGCCAGTATGCCACAGGTGAACTTTTGAGGTTGTCATTAAGTAAGTTGTGAAATTTCTCTAATAACCAAGGCAGTCCACATTCTTCCCTTTCCCCCAAATTCCGAGGACAAAACTTTTTTATGGTGCTGTTAACATGGGAGTCACACAAGCCGCCTGACTTTTCCTCATTGCCGTTAGTAATAAGTGATGGGAAACCCAGCCACCATCGTGATGCGAAATGATCCGTCTGTTGCCTGGAACAGCCCAGTCCTCTTAACTGAAACAGCATTCTACTTGTTGTTCCAAGATGAGCCTCTGCAATATTCTGGCAATTTAATATACCCCCCACAAAAGCACTCTACAGCTTTTACACTATTTTGACTTTGAGTTATAACTAGTATTATTCATGTTTTCATAAAAAGAAGTTAGTGACCCAGAGCTGTCACAATAATTCCCAACTCGTAAATTGCTTTCCTAACAACTAGCAAAAGCTGTTGTTCATAATGGCATTTCTAAAGCTTTTGGGCACTGTGTACCAGGATGAGGAAGAGAAGAAATGAGGAGCCTGTCTTGTAATATTCCAGGATGTGTGTGTGTGATTTTTCCTGACAACAGTACATCATATATCTATTTCTCTAGGGATATGGAAGTAAGTGGAGAAGGGCCTACCTTTTTAAAGGACAAATATAAAAATAGATAGCAACAGTATCTTTGCTAATCTTACTAATGGATATTGATTTAAAAAAAAAAAAAAACAAACCTCAGTACTGCATCACTGTGTTGGGATCATACCAAGACAATAGGGTCATTCCATATGATAAAACTAAAGGACTAAATCTGTTTTATAATGACGTCTTAGAGGGACTGAAAAGTTTAAGGAGGCAATTAAACTAAGATGTCTTAATGGCTGTGTGACACACGTAAGGAAAGGAAAGGGGCTCAGGCGCATCATGTACTGGAATGATCTGCATTCAACGTTGACTTATCTTCAGAAATAAGACTGAAGAGTTTTGTTGTTCCTTAGAGTTTTCATGTTACATCACCTAAAGAGATTTCTTTTAAAAACTTTCTAAGCTATTTGCAAAATGTATATTACTAACATAGTTTGGAAGAAAAATTGAGTAGTGGTAAGTTTTGTTCGAACACAATGTTGAATGTTAAGCTTCCTGTATTAATTTTAGTTCAGTTAATGGTTCAGCCCATACAAAGGTGCTATCCTAGGGATTTTATGAAGTCCTGAAAGGAAAATAGAATATGATCAATTCCTTGCCCTGTGGAAGAGTGCAGAACTGTGGTTTTGTTTTCCTTTGACTTCTGTAAAATGTGACCGTTTGACATCTGTGATAGTTTGAACAGAATATCTCACAGCTGCTGAGTTTACTCCAAAGCTTTCAAACCTTTTTTATTTTGAGAAATTCTTGAAAAACCCTATGTTCCATGGGAACATAAAGTTATTATAGTGCCTCCGAAGGGGTTAATATAAATCAAGGAGGAAATTTATATTGAAGGAAGAATTGGAATGACGTATCTTAGAAAAGGAAAGGCAGATGTTTCTGTACAGCTTGTCCTCCACCAGGCCTATCATCGTTTTTCTTTTTAGAGACAAACATGACAGGCTTGTCTTGTCTCTCTCACATGCTAGGTAGCAAATGGGGTGATATTTTTATAGAAGTGGGCCAAAATTATTTTCTCAATTTTACTGAGTAGGCACAGAAGAGAAAAGTACAGATAGGCTGATCGTTATTGCCTTATTTTGACAGCATTTCTCTTAAATGGGTCATTTAAATTAGTTCTTCAAGTAACAGTTTACTGGTTGTTCCATTCCTGAATATGCAGGCTAATTTGTACAGACAGGGATTAAGGAATACAGACTATTAGAGAAGATCCTTATATTTAGATCTAGTACATATGTGATAAGGAAATGCCAATTCTTCATTATAAACAAGGTTTAAAATTACTCTTTCTTAGTCCAAATGATAGCAATACCCCTATAGCATTAGGTAGAAACAAATTATTCATTACATTGTAAATCTCTTTACCATGTCCTAGCTCTGTCCTGCTACCTAAAGGACATAAAGAAATCATACTGCTCTAGAATGTATCACTGTGTTTTCCCATGAAAGAATTCCGTTTGTTAGTACCTATATTTTTAAACTGGTGAAACTGACCCAAATATGTAATAAATACCATAGTAGCTCAGACCCGAGGAGATATTTTTCTAAAATCAGTTTTCATTAAAGTACTTTCTACTTCCGTTATTGGATATAGTATCTCCTAAAATGTAAAAACACAAAACTAAACAAAAAACCCAAACAAACAAAAAAAACTGTTACTCTAATGATAAACCATCTGCTCATCATAAGTATGAGGCTTAACAAATAAGTAATACGTGCTGTATTTATTCAAGTGTCTATTGCTTAATTGTTAATTGTGAGCAGATTTATTGAATGCCTATTCTATTTTCTGCAGTTTACAATACAATAACTCTTGGAGTAAGCTGAAGTTTAATTGTGCAACACATTTGTATTAGAGTACAATTTAAAGTGTTTTTCTCTGTAGCCTTTTTTGACGGGGGAAGCAAAGGGTAATGTTAATTAGTACACTTTGCTCTTGTACTAGCTATGTTTCTATAAAATACGGTGCCCTGTGTATCCCAGAGATGCTAGAAAACTTTGTTCTTTGCTCCTATTTGTGGGTTCTTTTTGTGTGTGTGTGTTTTTTTTTTCCCAGAAAATGCACACAATAAAACATTCCTTGCTTGTTCCTATGTTTGCCTAATACCACTTTTGTTGTAGTCGGCCTGGACGTAGGGCAATAACAGTAGCAACCATTTATTCAGCACCCTCTGTGATGGGTGCTTTCACTCCATTATCTTACTCAATCCTGGCAACACCTGGGCAAGGCATTATTCCTCCCGTTTTGCATATGAGAAAACCAAGAGAATTTGTGTTGTTAAGTCTGTCTGTCTGACTTGAAAGCACACGCCTTCTTCCTGCCTCTGGCCTGAATGTGCTAGCATGTCATTTGTGTTTTCTGTAAGGGAGGTGGGTATTACTGTCTCTGCTGCCTGAGGTAGCAGTCAGCATAGTGCAGGATATTTGCGCTCTCTGACTACACAGAGCTATCTGCCGATACCAAGATCAAGCTCTACTTCTCCTCAGCAGCTCAGTTTTGTGGGTGAACGCGTGTGGTTCAGACCCAGAAGAACTGATACTTCAACTAAACCAATAAGAGATTGATTTAGAAACCAGCAAGGCAGTGAATAGTATGTTTTTCAAAATAGATACGGCTTTCTTTTCTCTCATCATCGAAATATTATCTTACTATAATAAAAAGAAAAGGAGGCCAGGCGCGGTGGCTCATGCTTGTAATCCCAGCAGTTTGGGAGGCCAAGGCAGGTGGATCACGAGATCAGGAGTGCAAGACCAGCCTGGTCAAGATGGTGAAACCCCATCTCTACTAAAAAATACAAAAAATTAGCCAGGCGTGGTAGCACGCACCTGTAATCCCAGCTACTCAGGAGGCTGAGGCAGGAGAATCACTTGAACCCGGGAGGCAGAGGTTGCAGTGAGCTGAGATCGTGCCACTGCACTCTAGCCTGAGCAATGAGAGGGAGACTCCATCTCAATAAAATAAGAAGAAGAAGAAGAAGAAGAAGAAGAAGAAAAGGAAAAGAAAAAGAACCAAAAAGTATAAAACAAGTTGTTTTTAAAATCATCTCATCCTACCACCTGGAGAAAACACCATTAAGCTTATCCTGTATATCTTTCCAATGTTTTTTTTAAATGTCTCCATAGATATGTAACACATACTTAGAGATGCATTGTTTTAATGGGACCATACTCGTTTTTCCACTTGATACATTATGGATAGTTTGCCCATGTCAGAAAGTAGAGCTCCATGTTAGTATTTTTTATGACTGCGTTGTTGCAGTAGACATTCGCTCTTGCCATCATCTGGACACATGTTGGGATCCCACGTCTCCAGCTGAGGTCAAGAAAGGCCCTTGTAACTTGCTTTAGCAAATGAAACGTGGACAGAAGCTCCTTACTGCAGGTGAGAGGCGCTGGTACCATGACACTTTCTTCTATGCCCCTCATGAAACGTGAAGTGTAATGCTAAGCCATTCTACAGATCACAACCGCTCTAGGACTGCAGTGGACTTTGCATGATCGAGAAATAAGTCATTGTTTTAGCCCACTGAGGTAGGGGTGTGTGGTGTGTGTGTGTGTCAGGGATGGGAGAGTGGCTAGGGATTTGTGTGTGTGTTAACTACAGCATAATATTAGCGTGTATAGCAGTATTCCATTGTCCTACTATGTGGCTAAATCGTCATGTATTTTACCAATCTCATAAAATTAGATTATATATGTTTAGATTATCATTTTAATTAAAACACTAAATATTTAAAAAAATTTTTAATTTAAAAATATACAAGCTCAGCATGCTTATATGTTTATCGTGCCCACTTTTCCAATTATTTTCTGAGGATAAAGTCTTAAAAAGTGGGAATTGCTAGGTCAGAATATGCATGTTATTAAGTTTTTTATTGTTATTGATATTATCCTCACACTGTTGCCAAGATTTGAATTTGTGTTTTTGGATAGGCAATAAAAAGATATCTCTTAGTGTCTTAATTTATGGAATGGCAGTTACTTTATAGCGAAAATAATACCACTTTTCCAAGTGGAAAACTGG